ACGGACTGTGTCATTGCGTTTGGAACATCGTCGACAATAAGAGTCTACATTCTATTTAATCAAATTTGATCGTTTGAGGCGGTGTCGCAATTTTCAAAGGCGATTTAAATATGTTGCGAAGGCACGCATTACAAGGGAAATTAGCCTTGTCGAAGACCAAACGATGTCAGATCAACAAACGGACAGCGCCATTGCGTCCGAAATGTTGTCAACCTCTGAAAACTGTATTTTGTTTATTCAATTTTAAGTATTCATAATGGTGGCACGAATCTCGAGGCAAAACACACATACCGAGAAAAGAGGTCTCAAGGTTGCCCAAACGATGTTCGATCGCAAAAACATACTATGTCATTGGGTCCGGAACTTCGTCAATATTATGAATGCACTGCCAATTTGTTCGAATGAGGTTTTGCGCGCAAATCGAGACAACGAGCACTTCGAGGGAATTAAGCCTCGTCGCCTCCTAAATGATGTCCGATCGCAAAACAGACTGCTTCGTTGCGACTGGGACATCGTCAATACCCTAAATTCACTATTAATTTGTATAATTCTGATATTCGGCAAATCAACACGTTAAACGAGGCAAATACGCAAATTTCGAGGAAATCACGCAAATCAAGATTCATTTCATTGACTGATGCATCATGGATATTCTCAATTAATGCTAATACTAATTTTGGCAGGTCATTATTAGTGTTGCCCGTGAATCTAATCAAAATGGTGAAAATCAGATAAAATCAAATCAAGGTAATTAATGTATTTTCTCATACATTGTCAAAAGAATCCAGTAAATCCCGGTGAAAACCTCGGATAATTGACAAGCTGTTGTCTTTTCCCGTAAAACCAGCGACTACTTCATTTCAAGAGCTTTTACGGATAAGTCTCATACACAGCTCCTGCTTCCGATTTTCTATTCATATGCTCTGTCATGTTTGCCTCCAACAAATTCCACGGAACACCTCCTCTGTTAAAAGATAAAGCTTCCTTTTCTCTTCAAGTCACGAGCTTCTCCAGTTTATCCGTCTCTTCCATGTTAAATTCCCACAGCTCAACTTCATGAGCTCCCTCTGTCATCTCCCCTCCATCTCTCTTCATGAGCACCACCAACAAACCTCCAGCTGCCTTGCTCCACCGGAAATCCAGCAGTCCACGAAGAGCAGGCTGCACTCATCATATCTCTTCCCTATTTTCCACTACAGCTGAGGTGGGTTGTTCAACCAAGCTATGGAGATTTATGATAATATGCTTACTGCCGGAATGGGACCAGACCTGTCCACTTACGATGAGATACTTGCTTATATAAAGAATCTCAATTGTAAACCAAACGAGCTTACTTGTTCTTGGCTGCATGCATATGCCAATATGAAGGAACAAGGAGTGGAAATGGCGACGGTGCTCCGGCGGCTATTCTTCTCCGCCGAGGCAAGGAAATTGTATCATCTGTCTCTGGCTTCTCTCTGTTAAGGCCTCCGTTTTATGTGACCAAACCATCTAAGGGAATTCTCTCTAATCTTATCTTCCACTGGAGCTACTTCAACCTTTTCACATATATGCTCATTTCGCATCCTATCTCTAATGGTAAAGTCACTCATCCACATGAGCATCCTCATCTCCGCAACACTTAACTTCGAATTATACTTCTCTTTTAATGGCCAACATTCGGCACCATAAAGCATTGCAGGTCTCACCACCATCTTATAAAATTTTTCCGTAAGTTTGAGGGAGAATTTTCTATCACACAACAAGCCCGATGCATTCCTTCACTTCAACCATCCAACTTGAATTCTGTTGATAATATTCACATCTATTTCACCATCACTCTAAACAATAGAACCAAGATACCTAAAATGTGTACTCTTATTAATGACTTGAACGCCCAAAGTCACAATCCCCTCACTAGGTCTATTGCTACTAAAATTACACTTATTATATTTAGTTTCAGATCTACTCAAGCGAAAACCTTTAGACTCTAAGGTTGACCTCCATAATTCAAATTTACCTTCAACTCCCTCTCTAGTCTTATCAACAAAAAGAATATTATCAGCAAAAAGAAAACACTAAGGTACATCATCTTGCAAATTTCTAGTGAGAACGTCCATGACTAAAGAAAAAAAGATATGGGCTTAAGGCTGATCCTTGATGTAATCCAACCAAAATAGGAAAATACTCGGTCAAACCACCTTGTGTTCGAACACAAGTAATAGCTTCCATAGTAGACCTACGCTCAATATTTCTCCATCAAACCTCTCAATAAATGTATGGCTTCCATAGTAGACCTACCTGACATGAATCCAAATTGATTTTGAGAAACATTAGTATCACGCCGCAACCTGCGCTCCATAACTCGCTCCCATGGTTTAAAAGTATAACATGTTGCAACTTAGATTTCAAGATTAAGTTTTACATCATGTGATTTGTTGATGATACCAAAATATAATTGTTATTATTACTGTTTCTCCTAACATACATTGGATTTTTTTTTTGTACTAACATTCCAGAGAAATTACACTCCAGACTGTCGAAGACTTCAAGACAAATTAGATTAGGGTTTCATGTAATGAAGTCTGTAATTTTTCTATTTTTCTTGAGTCTGAGAGAGTGTGATTGTAATTGGGTTACCGTGCACACACACACTGGGGTAGTGAATCAAAACTTCAAGTTTTAAAACTAATCGTACTGGACGGTTTGTCATGGTAATTCCTCCAAAACAAAGTTAATCAAATCATGCCTAGGAAATTTTTTTATTGTTCGTATTATACGATAATGTTTCGTACAGACGACTTCCAGAGTACGAAATGGGTGTGTACCAATTCATCCCATACAAACACATCATTTTTGAACAGTTCGTATTGTACAAAGTGGGGTTCGTACATATGACTTCCAAAGTACGAAATGGGTGCGTATCAATTCATCTCATATGAACACATCATTTTTTTGAATTGTTCGTACTGTACGATGGTGGGTTCGTACAGATGACTCACAGAGTACGAAATGGGGTCGTCCATGTTCGTACCAAACGAAGCATGATTTGTTAAAACAATTCGTATTGTACGATGTTGGGTTCATAAAGATGACTCACAGTATATGAAATGGGTTCGTACATATTCGTACCAGACGAACTTGTTCAATTTTGAATTGTTCGTAAAGTACGATGTTCGTTCGTACGGACGAATGACAGAGTGCGAAATCATGTTCGTACAATCGTACATGCCTTTTTGAATTGTTCGTACAGTCGATCCTCGATCGTACTGTAAGGCATGAGTACGTTCAAGTTGAAATTTTTTAATTTTTTGGTCGGATTTTCTTGTCTTTCATATATAAGTGTCCTAAAAACTGGCACTCAAAATCTTGCTGTGAATTTCTTTTGAGAGTGGATAAGAAAAGTGTTTGGGAGAGAGTTTTAGGAGTGAAGAGTGAGAGCTCTTTTGAGAGGAAATTGAAAGGGGATTCACAAGGTTGCCCAAAAGTAAGAATCTATTATCTATTCTTCAAGATTCTCCCTAATTCCTTGAAGCCTCTTGAGAGAAGAATTTTAAAGAAGATCACGGTACTCTGCCGTCACCAGGAGGGAGAGAAAGGACGTTGGTACTCTACCATCACAAGGAGGGTGAGAAATGACGTTAGTACTCTGCCGCACCAGATTGGTGGAAGAGAGATTTTATAAGGGATTCTCTGCCTTGTTGTAGAAGCAAAAGGAGAGACTTTTGATTTAGTGCAATACCTGAAGAATGAGCCTTCAGGGAATTGATGTAGGTCTAGTTGGACTGAACCACTATAAAATTTTATACTCTTTTATTCTTTTACTTTTTACTGCATTTTTATTTTCCGCACTTTAAATTTTTGTGCTTAAAAAAAATACTTTGTGAAAATCTATCATCGTGTCAAATATCTTAAATCGATTTTCTAAAATCTAAGAGAATTTTTAAATTATCAATTAACCCCCCCCCCCCCTTTAGGTTGCCTTGGGAATAATTTTTTAGTTTTAACAACCTAATTCATAGTGAATAAGTTTCAACAAGGGTCTAACAACCTATTCGAACTTTCACGACACATTAACTTAATTCCTCTATAATTCACACAATCATGTGCATCACCTTTATTCTAAAAAATATGAATTAAAACACTCATTCTCCACTCATCTAATATCTTTTTAGTCTTTAAAATAGTATTAAAAAGTTTAGTAAGCCATGAAATTCCTTCATCTCCTAAGCATTTCCACACCTCTATTGGAATATCATTTGGTCCAACAGCTTTTCCACACTTCATTTTCTTTAAAGCCTCTCTATCTTCAATTTTACTAATATGCCAATAAAAATAAAATCTTTATTATCATTTAAGGTGCTAAGGTATTTTCACATTCTTCATTAAAAAGTCTAGAAAAATATTACATCCACCCTTGTTGAATATCATCTTCTAAGAAAAGTATTTTTTGATCTTCATCCTTAATACACTTCACTTGAACTAAATCCTTACTACTCCTATCTTTTTGTTTAACTAACTTATACATATATCTTTCTCCCTCCTTAGTATCTAATCTATAATATAAAATATTAAAAATTAAGATCTTTGCATCGCATATTGCTTTCAACAACTGCAAGAAAGAAATTTATTCTACAAAATTCCAAAAGCATAAGGAAATTTATTCTACAAAATTCCAAAAGCATAAAGCTACAGGAGAATTTGATAATGAATGCAAAATTGATAAACTTTATAAAATTACATGAACCCATGGTTGCTTGCATTTTTTATGAAAAACTGTTGGAAAAATTCAATTTTCCAAGACATAGGATATCTGACGGGATGAATAAGACAATAAAAGGAGGAATCATAATATCCATTTTGAAACATCGAACTTACGGGCATCAACAGAAGTGTTTATGGGAGAAATGCCCCAAATGAGCAGCTTTACAACAAAAGTATTCAATACAAATGACAACCCAGAAATTGTTCACTAAGAAAGCATTTATGAATTTTAAATTTGTAAGGCAAGAGATGCAAACCTTTTTGAATAAACGATAGTCAATAAAGAACCCATGCATATAAGCTCTTAACAAATTTGTGCCAATTAGATTTGTCAAATGCAACCTCTCAAGGTCTTCCTTTGTTAAAAATTTATAATCATCATAAATAGTAGCTTGTGATCCCTCCTCCATCTCTTCCTTCAGGAAGCAAAATAAGAAGTAAAGAAAAGTTTAGAACATTTTTTTCCATTAATTTCGTAAAGAAAAAGAGACAAAATCATCATACAGTAAGGTTCTCCAAATATGAGCACCACTTTGGTGCAGGCCCTAAATTTGGAATGAAGTAGGCCGGTATTTGGCTGCAATCCAAAGCCAATAACATCAAGCCACTTTCATGGAAAACACAAACGTCATTGATGGCACCATCACTTGGTTCTATATTAATCAAATTATCCCCCTGAAAACAAAAAAGACAGATCAGCATCCTGTCATAGCACAAGGTGTAGTGTGAGGAGACAGTTGTAAGAGATATAATTTTGAAAGAATAATGGTTAAACATAAGGTCCTAGTCATGGCCTTTACAAGATAGCAATAGGAACTAAGTAATTATGAGCGAGATCTATTTTTTCCAAACTAAAGCAATCTAAACCAAGCAATATACTATAATGATATTGACATTCCAACACCAATAGAAAGTTCATACAGTTTGTTAGTATTCTCATACAATAAAAAATGTCAAGAATCAAATTCATTCATCCAAACCACATGAACTTGACATAAATAATATGTTTCCTACTGGTTTTAGCAACATGTCATATACAATGCATTTGCATGAAAAGATGAGATGATAAATCTGCAAAATACATGTCTTAACTAAGAATTAAAACTTGAAAAAGATAAAATTATATTCATTCAAAAAAAGGCGCCAAGATACCATAATTCTCACCGTATTAGGATCCCAAACTCGAACAACATGGCTATCAGTGCTGATCAATTTAGGATCTACAGAATTAAGAGTCTGATGCCACTTGATGTCTAATATAGGTCTTCCGTACCTGCAAAACAGCCAGAAAGGTCACAACACATACTTACCAAAGCTCTAAATCCTACAGTAGCAAAAGTTTAAAAAGAAGATGAATGTTATCTTGCAAGCCAGTTTGAGTACTTGTAAGGAAAGGCACTAACATATGATCCTTGATTCGAATTGGATCAGACATTCGCAAGTCATAGATAGATATCTGAAATTAAGAAGAGATTATATTAGTTATGTATACATAAGAGTTAGATTATGAAAGAAACACTCAGGAAAAAAGTCACAAAAATGGTGAGAGAATGAATTGTAAATAAATTCCAGAAACAAAAGGAGTACTAATATATAAGATCGTATTTCTAATAAACTATCACTAGCAGTCACAACCAACAGAAAACTAAACTGATTTTCAGGGGATAGTCAGGGGTTACAAAAAATATATGGCGAAGAAAATTTGCTTCTTTTACATTTCAAAGGTTTTTGTTATGCCTGCGCAAAAATTTCCAAAGTTTGATCAAGGCTTTCTATGCTGCAACATCATATAAATTTTAACTATCACTAAACGAGTGACTCATAAAATGCTAGTTAACCCAATCAAATCATTGAACAATAAAAAGTAGAAAACACTTCTGCAGAATGATTATCCTCTGGGATAAGCTTAGGAAGAGCTCTCCTCAGACTTCAAAATGAGCCGTGTAAGCGCCAACCACTTTGATCCATCTGGTTATACCACCGGGCAAATTTACTATATTTAATCACTTCAAAAAATTATGTGGGTCATTAGTCTAATCATCCAGGACTATTAAACAACTCCTGGACAAGCTAATCTGACTAGGCCATCTGATCCAGTCTCACTATTATAAATGACCCATAGATGAAGTAAACAAATTCTAAATGCCAGAGCTCAAGCTCCCAATCACTGATATATTGTTTTCTTTTGTTTAACAAACTCATATTTTGTGTACCTTTGTCGCAACTTTCTAAGAAGTTCCCTCCATCTTAGAAGCACTCAGAATGAAAATACTCAACTTTAAAGTTTATGATGAAATATCAACCCATCTTAGGAGAACGCTAGCATGAAAATACTCAACTTCAAAGTTCATGATGGAATATCAACTGTTATGCTAAATGGTACCTTCACGTTAAAAGTTCTACTGCATTGTACTTAAATAATCTTACAATCTCCTCCATTTCAGGAATAATCTCCTTGTAATCAAATTTGTAATCACCCAAACTCATCCATCAAGGCACATTTTGGTTGTAAGTTGGTGCTTCATCAAAAAAATTCTGAAGTTAAATGTGATCATTCTTGAGCACCCCTAAAATGATTGTTCTTCCAAAATAATTGCACCTAAGGGATAAAATCAGGAGGCTTGTTATGCCTAAAATGGAAAATATCTTAATGAATGAGAATTCAAGCTGCAGCAAAAGGAAGCAAAGATGGGCTAAATTTGATTGCAAAAGAAGAGGTCAAAATAATATATAAATTGAGAGAGAGATCAATCTGTGTTGTCAGTATCTCCTACAAAGATCTATGTGAGGCATCTTCTTGATTCTTATATCATGTCTTTCCTTCACCCGAAATATAATTTGGTATACTTTTGGCTCAAATGGGATTTCTGAAGCTATTTTTATGTCATGATGCATTCCTATAAATGATTTCTGGTCTACTTTATTAGTTAACCCTGTAATTTTATAATTTCATTCTGTTTCACATTCTTCTTATGATTCTAAATTTCTCGTTCTTTTTTATTTAAAAATTTCGCTCCAAAATGAAACTTCATTGGAGTTTTAACCTTAAGGTATGACCATCAACTTCCTATGAATGTTTCTCAAGAATTGGGAAGTTTATTTCTTTGTTGTAGAATGTTCTTAAATCAAACTCATTCATCATTAACATCTTTTACTTAAAGGTTTTGGTCTTTACTTCATTTTCAGTGTTCTCATATTCTAATCAAAATTTCATTTGACACCCTTCAACTTTACTAACTTCTTGATGACATTTGTTTTGCTTTATTAACTGGTGGGCAAAAACTCTATGAGGATCCTCTCCAAACATAGCAGCACGAACTTGTGAATTAATAAACTAGCTTACCAGTTTTTCTAATGTGCAATCAGACATTATTTTTAAATCTTTTTTAAATAACTACATGATTATTATTAATTATTAATTATTAATAACGTATGGGTCAATATTAGTTACAAGTATATATAAAAGTTTAGCCAAGATTAAACCCTTATTTTGTTTTTTTCCTCTAAAAATGACTGTGGTGGGCATTTGGCAAATTTGGAGGGAGTGTAGGATATCTTCAAAGATGGTCTTTTCAACATCTTTAGAGATTTTCTCAAGGAGAAGGGACCTTCTGCTTTATCTCTTAGACCAAAAAATTATTCCGTATGATTTGTATTCTTGACACAATTTTTTGGCTCAAGACTCTATTTTGATGAATTAAGCACAATGTAAAATAAGTTATATATTTATTTATACACAGTAAATGAAAGATTATCAGAACCCACACCAAAGCCAACAAAACAGTAAGAAGAGTCTCCACGGCTGATCGGAGCAATGGCAGGCCAAATGCCATGAATGAGAGTTCAAGCTCTGGCACTAGCAAGAATAAACGTTGTGCACAGGGTTGAATAGATATGGTTTGCGGTCAACCTTCTATCAAATTTAAATTCAATTATATCAGAACACTCAATTGGCCTCTAGAATATTTTTCTTTAATCTGATATCAATATTTAATGATAATGAATACACTTCATGGCTCCCTATCCATAAAACTGGGGAAACAAAGATAAACTAAAACTTTAAAAATAAATCGTAACACTTTCAAAACTTAATGTTTCTCAAAATCAATTTGGAATCATGCTGGGTAGGCCTACTATGGAACTTATACATTTATTGAGAGGTTTGATGGAGAAGTATACAAAGAATGAGGAGGATCTACATATGATATTTATTGATTTAGAAAAAGCATATAATAATGTTTTAAGAGAAATGCTATGGAGAGTTCTAGACAAGAAAGAGGTTAATCATACTTATATTCAAGTCATTAAGAATATGTATGAAGGAGTTGTTACTTGTGTTCAAACGCAAGTTGGTTTGACCAAGCTTTTTCCTATTTCAGTTGGATTACATCAAGAATCAACCTTAAGCGCAAATCTTTTTGCTTTATTCATGACTGTACTTACTAGACATTTGCAACAGGATGTACCCAGATGTATGCTATTTGTTGATGATATTCTTCTTGTTGATAAGACTAGACAGTGAGTTGAAGGTGAACTTGAATTATAGAGGTCAACCTTAGAGCCTAAAGGTTTTAGTAGTAATAGATCTAGTGGGGGAGATTGCGAATTTGAGCAATCAAGTCATTAATAAGAGTACATGTTTTGCATATCTTGGGTCTATTGTTCAAAGTGATGTTGAAATAGATGGAGTTATTATCAGTAGAATTCATGTTAGATGGTTGAAGTTGAGGAATGCATCAAGCCTATTGTTAACTTAAGGGAAAATTCTATAAGATGGTGGTGAGACCTTCAATGCTTTATGGTGCAGAATGTTGGCCATTAAAATAGAAGCATAATATTAAGTTAATTGCTGAAGAGATGAGGATGCTCAGGTAGATGAGTTGTTTTACACTTAAAGACATGATACAAAACAAGCATATACATGAAAAGGTCGTAGTAGGTCCAATGGAAAATAAGATTAGAGATAGTAGATGTATTAGATTTGGCTTATGTTAAGAAAGGCAGAGGTAGACATAAAAAGACATGGTTAGAAAATATTAGAAATGACCTTTCTTTATTAGATTTAAATGAGAATTTGAGTCTTAATAGGACACAGTGAAGAAAAAAGATTCAAGTAGCCGATACCACATAGTGGGATAAAGGCTTGATGTTATTATTGTTGTTGTTGCTAATATTAAACAAATGGATAATTATACTTAATAAAATGAATATATGTGGGCTCCAAAAACTCGGCCCCGGCCTCCCCCGCTTCTATTTCTTCGGGGGACTTTTAACGGATTAAGTACCAGGATAAATTTTGGGAAGGCAGATGAGTTTACAGATAAGACACTTCCTACAGATTTCGCCCTCATTTTGCGAGGACTTTATGATCTGAGTTCTGATTTTCTATAGTCGCAAGCCCCCATAGTTAATTACCCCTCTCGATCACGAGAGAGAACTTTCGATTAAGGCTAGTCGTCAATCAGATATGTAGAGAATACGTGCATCTGGCATATAGTAGCAGCATGGGCTTGGGAATTTGGAAATATGATATTTAAAATTGGGAATTGCACCATCTTGCACTTAAAGCAGATGGTGGGGGAATGGATGATGGACCTGATCAAGATCCCATGGTTCTATTGTCCTGGGCCATCGTGGTCTCTGGTCTACTTAGTCAGAGGAGGTAATCGACCCAACCTAATAGAAGGATCCTTGTCGGCAACCATGGGTTGCTTCGTCTAAGGAGATCTTGTAAAACTGGGGTAAATGTTTATCTTAGGGGACAAATTTGAATCTACCTTAACTAACAAAGGGCTTTGTGCCCTATCGATCATATTCTATTGATGCATATCTCAAGGATTTGATACCACTAAGGAACGTATTGGTTCTGGGCATAACCGGTATCTCGTGGTGTCATTTGGTAGCAAAACAACTCGATTCAAAAGGCTCTGGGTCATAACTGTTTATCCTGCGGTGCCATTTGACGACAAAATTATCGGTTAGAGGACACATACCACGTCCTTATTGACATGATATTATTTGATAATGGATCCTACTTATATTTTTGACTAAGCATTACCTCTATGTGAGCTAAAGTAAATTTCAATTTGTCTACCTCGACAAACTATTGCGGAGGGTGGATGGATTTTCTTTTAAGTGTTTGAATTGATGAATTTAAATTTTAAATATTTTAGATTTGGATGATCTCGAGATTTTTTTGGATCTTCGGGTATTTGGGATGACATTTGAAATGTTTGAAATGAACCCCTCTGGTTGAGATTTACATTCAATGCGGCCATCATCGAGTGATGGGGTCATTTAAATTTGTGGATTGAACTTTGTCAACTCTGTCGAGCTGTTGATAGAGGATTAGGTTTCGTGGGACCTATATTTTAGTTAATAAATTTTCTTTGTTGAAAGCCTTATATGACCGTATAAAATAGGTATTATGGTCGACGTCTTGACCGTCTATATGTTTGATAATTCGAGCCGTGTCAACTCTTATCTATCTATATAGAATGATTGGGCTAGAACTACGTTCATTTATAGACCAGCGCAGCATCTCTAAACGTCACGTGTGTTCCAAAACACTCTCATCAGGACCCATGCGAGTCTTGTGATTGCAATTACCCCTTTTGTGTATCTATGTATATACAAATTGCGGTGCATGTGCTCATTTTTGGATTTCTGGCGGATATACTATGACAGCCCACCAAAGTTGGTGTTTGTCGTAGCCCTTATGTATTTGCCCGTAAGTAATACGTTGGAGGCATGACCACTGTTTGTCAAGAGGTTTGCAAGCCTCAATAATCTTATCCAACTCAATGTCTAGGATCTAGTTGAATTGAGATTCACTCACTCCATCTTTAGAGATAATGATTTGATCTGACTTTCTCTTCCCAGAACTCATATAGAAATCAATAGGCAAATTCCTGATTATGACATCATCATCATTTTCCGTTGTTGGCTTAAATAAAGATCAATTATTTCAACATTGGATGACTATGTCTTGTACTTTGAGATTGGTGGTCATTTCCCTGAACTAACAATCGCGGCAATCAAAGATACTTTGAACCATCTAAGATAGCTGTGGAAGGCACCCATTCATAAAATAATTATTGCAGTCTTTGATGTAATGGTAATAGCGGGTGTATTAAACCGCTGTTAGATAATTATTGACTGTGTAGGTGTCAGAATATCTTTGTTAACTAATAGGTACTTTGAATAAGTTGCAGACATTTTGCCTTTATCCATATAGGGATCAACGTGTTTATTTCATGCTGAGTGATGGTCGATCACAAAGATGCTGGGTATCCACTGTTTGTCACGACGCTCTCTCCATAACTATTTGCAAATGGCGGCATAGGTGTATGTTTGCATTTATTGTTATCACTTGCAAAGATTCAGTGAAATCATATGTAGCTGAGAATCATCAAATTGATGCATTAATCTACCCGTCGATTGTCGTTGGTGATAGTCAAGTTCCCCTTCATGGTGGATTCATTCATTTGCTTGTGTACTGATGTGTTGCATGTCCATGTTCACAGAGTATCTCTTGTATTTGCAATTTCTCTATTGTTGTTGCTTGTTGACAAGGCTGATGTATTTCAGCATTGGTAAAAGGAAGGTTATATCCTCCACAGTTCTCTTGCTATTGATTATGTATGATTGACACAGATGTCGCTTATAGGGACGTCATAGCATTCATTGTATGCCATTTGATATCATCCATTGATGGATTGTAAGTTGACAAATATTGACCATAGGCAGGTTGTGGTGAACATAATGATTCATTCTTTTGTTTATGAATGCAGTGTTATACAATCACAGATCTTCTAGCACCAACGAGTTTGTATTCGCTACAACCTTTCCACTGTTACTTGTAAGCACAGTCCCCTGTTGTCCATTCATTTGAATTCAAGTCCATTCAGTTCAAGCTTGATTCAAGTCCAGGTTCCTTTTGATCGTTCAAATAAAATTTGGATTTGCAAGTTCATATTTGGATACTTGTCTATGACAAGTTCTTCATCATCTTTGAGAGTGGCTATATTAAATAAGAGCTTGTTTCATTAGCACCATCCAGCTCCTTTGTATAAACTTGTGAACCCACTGGTGTGGATACTACGGGCTTTATGTTGCTCATGTAAGTTGAAGGTCCTTTGTTGTAACATTGGACAAATTATTGCACCACAAGTCCTTTGCAAGTGCCTTGCGCATTGTTTGTAGACAAGTTATGATTGCGAATTCCTTATCTCCATTCGTGGTTTGTAGCATGTAGAAAAAATCTTCACAAGTGTCTCGCTTGCTCATGAGCAAATCATGTTCATTTGAAGTCTTGGCACAAATAATTGCATATTTGTTTGAGTTTGCTCCCTATCATTCATTTAAGTCCAAGTCAAATGTTTCCTAATTTCACTTTGGGCCTTTTGTTACCTTTTATTTGAGCTCAAATCAAGCTTATTGTGATTTGTTTGAGTTTGAGCCCAATTTGAGTTCATGTTCAAGTTAAAGAGCAAGTCTTTCATAGTCAAGTTGCAAGTCTTGATTAGTCATTTGATTATAATAAAGTAAAATAGAATTGTAGCTCATTCATTTGAATCACAATTCATATCCTTTGTATTCGTTCAAGTCCCATGTATGTATTCAATCAAGTTCAAATTCAGTTCAAAGGTTCACAAGTTCGAGTCCAAGTTCTTTGTCATTACATGTGCAGGTTCAATTTGTGTTCAAATACAAGTCCTTGTAGCTCATTCATTTGAATCACAATTCATATCCTTTGTATTCGTTCAAGTCCCATGTATGTATTCAATCAAGTTCAAATTCAGTTCAAAGGTTCACAAGTTCGAGTCCAAGTTCTTTGTCATTACATGTGCAGGTTCAAGTTCTTTGCTTAGTTTATTTGAGTTCGAGTTCACAAGTCCTGTTATCCTTTAAGTTCAATCAAGTCCAAGTACGATCTCATGTTCACTCAAAATTTTGGCAGCATCCCGACATCTCCCCCGTTTAGGGGAAACTACGAGAAACTGAGCCTCCCGCCACGCTAGATATTAGTGAGTACGATAGGTGTCCTTAGACATCGCGGCCGTGAAATATTCAATCCAACCACGCCAGAGAAAGGAGTGTATGGGTCTTCAATACCTATTTCAAAAGAAAACCAGTTTGCTTTTCCCGCAAGTACAGAGCCACGTACGGGTACTTAAAATTGTCCCCACCATGGTACAAAGAGTGTGTATATGGCTTACCCGCCTTGCCGAAGGTGTCGCACCGGGTTACACTTATATTAAAACAAAACAACAATTAAAAAACAACGAGGACACATTACTATTAATAGAAATTTTGAGAAGAAAGATACAATGAAATGGTAACTTGTGGAGAGAATAAATAGAAAAGAAGACCGAGATGAAGTCATAGAGGGGAAGGGGATAGGAGGTAGCTCGCAGGCTAGAAAACCTGTAGGTTTTACATTCCACAAATTATCACTCATAAAACTCTCCTTTAAATAGGATATAAGCAATCAAAAGGACACCCAAACAACCAACCACAAACAGGAAAAAAAAGGTAGCATTTAAGGCTCTTAGAAACCGAACCACCACAACCAGGAACTGAGACAGAAACAAGAACTGAGGGACCCAGGCAGAGGAACCGAACAGCCAAGCGGGCAGAAACCGAACAGCCAAGCGGGCAGGAACCGAACAGCCCAGTAGGCAGGGAATCGAACAACCCAGCAGGCAGGGGAACCGAACAGCCAACCCAAGCAACCAAGAACCGGCCAGCTCCCAAATAGACCAAACCCACATGAATCAAACCCAAGTCATCCCACGGAAAATGCAGCCCATAATTAAATGCCCAAATATGTAAGCCTTGCTTGCATCAACAGGCAGAGTTCGACTACAGGAGGTCGGGGTAGCGGCTTTATCGGAGAAGGATTCAGGATGGAGATCGAGCCAGCTTCGTTGGCTTGAAGTCGATGGGAATCGGAAGGCTTGACGGCGGGGATGAGTTTGACTGTATCGTGGGTTTGAAGTTGTCAAGAAAGGCAGTGATGGGAGGATGGAGGTCGACAGCGAGGAAGGGCCGACGATAGTGTGGATTTCAACTTGGGATTTGCAGCTTCAGTGTAGAGGCGTCGGTTGTAGCGGGAAGGAGAAAAATGGGAGTTTGCTGAAGCTTAGAGTGTGAGTCTTCGTCTGGCTTGCATTTTAACGATGGGGAGAGCAGGATTTCTGCACTCGATAGGATGGGCGACTATTGCGTGTCTAAAACAACACCGAATAGTAGGTCTGCGTTACTGTAGCAACGGGATTCGATGCAGGATTTCAGCAAGAATATGCGACAAGTAATGATTATATCGATCTTATATATATATATATATAATTTTATTTTTTTTCTGCCTTTGAGGTCAACAATATAATAATAAATATTACAAATTTGTCCAAAAATGAATATGGGCCTTAAAGGCCTAAAATATGGTTCGGTTCAATGCTATTATAGATGGCTTTACTTATTGGAATCAGCCTACTAAAAATAAGGTTTTTGCAAACTAAATCAGACTTATTGGTAAGTTCACTACATAAAATCCTTCCGGGTGCAAAGAACTCTCCTTCGAAGAGTTAGCAATCATGCAGTCATCCAAGAGATCAAGTGTTAACTTTTGCAATTCATCGTTGGCCCCAAAAGAAAACCTATGTAGACATTTTTAAACTATTTACAGAAAAAAAAAAAAAGAAAGCAGAAACCTTTGCTGACCCCAAAAATTATACCCCCATTAATGCATCATTTAATAATTTAATGTTGAGTTGTTAAAACAACAAAACAAATCTATCATTACAGGCAAAAATGGGCTGGCTTCTTAACAAGGGCATTTTCAATAAGCGAGAAGTCCTTGGCTCAAATTAAAAAGAAAATTTTCACTTTTTGGAGGGTTTTCAAAAGCTGTCCAGTTGAAACACATTAGCAAATGAAGTACTAAAATATGTGACTGAGAATAAGGTCATAACTTGTGGAGGATATCCCAAAACTAAGACGATCATGTAAGTTATGTTTTCCAATCTTTATACCTTCCCAGCACTGGTCCCAACTGCCATCAGGTACCCATGGTCTTCATCAAATTGCACGGCGGTAATCTCCTATAAATGTAAAAGAATAGTTAATATGAGTAGCAAAACATGGCATATTTTTGCCCTTTTTTATCTGGCAAAACAGAATAACCATGTAATCTTCTCTAAACAACCTGATCTGAATCACCAGATTGCACAACAGCATTAACTCTGCCGACTGAAGATTTCTTTCTCATGTCAAAACATTCCACAAATCCATCGTCACCACCACAAGCAATAAGGCCATGAATCATACTACAATAAACAAATGTTAAAAGTAATTGTTAAAAAAAAACATCAACACTTAACAAAATAAGACTTACCTACGACAAACAACATTGATAGCTGGTGAATTAGAGCTGATTGATGACAAAAAACGGCCCTATAAATAAGTGGGAAAAATTAGATCAATGTGGAGTTGCAAGCAAAACATAACAAAATTTATGTGGCCTCAAATAATAAGGTTGTTCCTCAAAAGATAAACAGTGGTTGAAAAAGAATAATACTGAATGGTTTTCATAGTAAGCGGACTAGGTGCAAATTCATCCTGTTGAAATACATTAGCATGATTTGCAAGAAAATATACTTAAAATTCATACAGCAATTAAACTAATTAGACAACTAAGATGGCGATAGTCCTTGCAGTGAAAACCAATATATGTGTGCAAGTGCGGTGAAACAGTATGCATGTGCATAATGCCCGCCCTTCTTCTTTGCATGCCCATCCTACACCCATAAATCAAAAGTATATATAATCATCGTCGTCATTAGTCTTATCCAACTATTTGGGTCAGATACCAGCTAAAATTACATGTACAAAACACATTTGAAAAGTTTTGGTCTATTGTTTACATGCCAGAAACCCCCAGCTTAAATAAAAATCCTATAATACAAATCACAAGCCCACTTAAAAAAACGCAAGGGTATCTTTTGCAGATTGGGAAGAACAAGATCATGTATGGCAACAACCTTAAAATAAACATAGAACAATGTTATTAATGGCCCTATTTTGACTTCAGTTATTTGACTCTCACAAAAGTAAAATCGAATCACATGCAGTTTTTAATTAACACATTCAGATCGCCTTAAGGATATCTACCGTCCATTTTACATCAAACTTGGCCCTTTCATGCACCATTCATATTCGTAATACAATCAACTCTCTTGCCCATAAAAAATCAATCAGGAAAAAAAAAGTACCTAGCAAGGTTATATTTATTAGAAATCAAGGTTTCAAATTAAGCAAGTCGCTTAAATGATTGCAAACGTAGACTAAAACCAGCTTAGTTTTTTCATGAATAACATTCTTGCAATAACATTCTTGCCCAAGCATCCAACTTGAATCTCCAGATATACATTCAACCACTAACAACTCAAGAAAGTAAATTTCAGATCAATTGTCGTTGCTAATACATACTCAAGATTTTGCTATTAGAAATGATCTTTCTTTATTAGATTTAAATGAGAATTTGACTTTTAACAGGTCAAAAGGGAGAAAAATGATTCATATAGCCGACCCCATGTAGTGGGACAAAGGCTCGATATTGTTGTTGGTGTGTTGTTCTCGTTGCTAGTACATGCAGAGACAATTTTGACAAAAATAGAAAATATCCTATGAGTATAATAGAAAAAGACAAAATCAATTCTTTTCACACTAATAAATGGCATTAGAATAGATTATTGAGTTGTGAAATGATCATGGACTAATTCATGACCTGCAATGAAACTATTTGGTTCAAAGGAAGAGAAAAAGAGACATGGAAACCTGTTCCAAGTTGATTCTGTATAATTCTGGTGAGGAAGCAGCACAAAGTAAGTCGCAGGACCAGCTATCATACTTCATATCCCTTCCCATCCTGAGAAGAAACCAAAAAATATATTAAATTAAATCGAAAATCTTCAAGCATAGGTCAATACATTACTTTCACAATTAATCTACAAAACTGATACAATTTCGGTAGCTAAATGTTTAAACAGTATAAAACTTTAACTGATGCACAGAACGTGATCTAAAATTAAGTTTTGAAGATCTTGACAACTAAAATAAATTAATTTTTAATATAAATTTAATGAAATATTAATATGATATATAACTCATAAATACTTATATATCCTTCTAAAAGTTGCAGATAAAATCAAAAAAATTAAATGTAATATAAAGTAAATAAGTTATACATTTTAAATAGTATTATAAGCATTTAAATGCTTTCAAAATAAGATTAACATTATAGTATGCAAAAAAAAAAATGGATATGTTATTATGAGTTATATATCATATTGATACTTATATGAATATTGTTTAAATAAATTCCTTCACAAAAGTAAAGCTGTTTCAGAATCCAATGACAAGCAGTCTATAATCTGAACTATCAGTGGTAGTTGAATGCAAAATTACAGACATGGGGGATTAAGATTTTGCTTCATGTCAGAGATTGAAGATGATGAGAAGTGTTGAGACTACACTACACCATTATTCATTTTTTCCTTCATTCGCTATGTGACTGGAAATGCTTAGTGTCGGCATAGATTTATGTGTTTCACAGGCATGTGAAAATTAATATTTTTGTTAGATATTAAACTAGATAGCTATTTTGCATTTAATTATTTTACTTAAAGAATGTTGGTACGATTGCACATGTTTCAACTATTTTACAATGATCAATTTTAAGTTTTTTCCTCATTTATTACAATTTAAGTTTTACAATCTCAAAATAATTTATATCCTCTAATACAATGCCCTCACATAAATTCATATTTATGTTATAATATATTTATATATATTATGATAATTTCATTAAATTTATTAAGCATATATATATATATATATATATATATATATATATATATATACATATATATTCCAGCATATCCAAGGATATTTTTTTGTTAACCAACCTTGGGATTCGTAAGCTGTAGTGACTTCCGTACTTGGCATGCAAGCAGATGGAACGATCAGCACAGAGAAATGCAATCTTGGAGTAATCATCACCAAGCACCTAATTAATTAACAGCACTCTAGTTAGCTCAGTCAGGTAATAAACACTATAAAAACATCAAACATTGCGTTGAAAAAAGAAAAAACAAAAAGAAAGGCTTGCTGACGCAGTGAAACAACAAATATATTAGCACCATGGAAAAATAGACTAAAATTGTGAATATGAGGTACCCAACAAGGGGCGGTAACAATGTGCCTTTGTCAACAACAATGCTGGCAAAGGGCATTAGCAAAGACCAGTGATGTTAACGGACGTATTTGCAAAGTATGTTCACATTGATTCATGATGCTAACAGAATAAGCATTGATGGAGAAAATGAGAGATGATGTCAACGGCAGTAACAACGAAGATATCATTAGTGTCAATCTTTAAAGTATGATGGCACGAGATGATCACAGAGTAGAAAAATCTAATGATTTCTTTAGGCCACAAAGAGATAGATCAAATTATATGTGAGGTATTAGATAACCATGAGGCACAACTGCAAGGAAATCAATAGAAACAATGGGGCAATTGTTGACAAGAAATTTAAGCGTAGCAGCGCAAAAGGAGGTGGATAGTGAAACAATTAACACAGGCATGCAGATCAAGGGGAACAAAGCGGTGAGCATGATTATAATGGCTCAAAGATCAACAAATTAATAAAGTATGATAAATAATTAATTCAAGTAGTATTATTACTAACCTCTGCTTTGTACACCCCCTAGTAAAAACCTTAAGAGACTGGCCTTTAACAACATTAACCTTGCTTAGTCTAGCCATGTCTTAGAATTGACCAAGGATTCAACTTAAACCTAATTTATCACTAATCAAACCAACACCTAGTGAATAGTAATGGACCTAAATGCATGCACCGAGCTACCCTAGTTCACATATGGCAACCAAAACCTTTTAAACCCTGCCCTAGCTAGCCTAGACCAAACCACTAAGAAGTAAGAACATGCACCATAACTTGATCTAGTTGGACTCAAGAGCCATTTGGGCATATTGGGCCAACCCTTGATGCATGTGACCCCAACCTAGGCTCTCCATCCCCACCTAGCACAGTTGACCAACCCTAGCCTGCTCTATCCCAGAGAAAGTAAAACATGGTCAAACCCTATACTACACTCAATTTAGTGGACTTTCGGTTGACCTAGGCTAATGCCTTAGATCCAGTAGACCCTATATTACACTATGGAGAACCTAAGACCTACCTAAGTCAAAGCCCTAGGTCCTAATAAACCTTTGATCAAACCTAGTATAAGTGATCTCACCCCTTGCTTCAGATTCACCTAGCACAGACACCAGGATACCTACCCCTTAGCAGGTTCTTCTAGACCTTAGAAGACAAACCCTAGCCAACCCAAGCAAGTCTAAGGAAACCCTACATCAAAAGCACTCACCCCTTGCTTCAGATTCACCTAGCACAGACACCAGGATACCTACCCCTTAGCAGGTTCTTCTAGACCTTAGAAGACAAACCCTAGCCAACCCAAGCAAGTCTAAGGAAACCCTACATCAAAAGCCCTCCAAAAGCATCACATATTAATTTTCCCTCTTGGCCGGCCTCTTTGCATTGATTGACCTTCCATTGGGAGTCATTCAATGTATTACTTTCCATAGTTCTACATATGATAGAGGGAAAAAGAAGAGAGAAATCATTTTAAAGGCATCTCTCTAGGCACCCTAGAGATGAGAGAGGTTATAAGAAAAAAAAATTGAAGAACCTAAAAGCATTCAACGCTCCTGTTTGTGAATTTTGTGTGATAGATACTTTTAACTTTTAATTAAAAAATATTTATTTTTTTATATTTTGATCGTTGTCATATTAAAATAGAACAAATATTTAACATTTTATTGATAATGGTTCAAAGTATTCACATATGGAAGAGATTTCCTTATGCAGATTTTCTCTCTCTTATTTTAAAATAAAGCAATACCCTATGCTCAGTTAATTATAATATGATTGGTAGCTAATGCTATTCTTCTTACTGTTAAATTTTAATTGTATTATGAATGATAGGTCCACATGGCTGCAAGTAGTTGCATGTATTGCTCTCGATTATCCATCATCAATAATCTTCATATTTGAATATATGTACATAAGACGTAAGATTTTCATTACTCAATTGAAGCCAGTGTTTTTGTTTGCCCGTTCTTGGAGAGGGAAATGTTTTTGTATTTCCAAATGAAATTATTAATTCAATTCCGAGCTTCCAAGCTATTTCTCCCCTAGCAATTAGTTAGTGGGATGTCGGTGCAGTTAGCATTGAAGCCAACTTCAATTTCTTTCATTATAAAAGGTGAATGTGAGTGCTCAATTAAATCAACGGGAACCAAACTAGCAAATAAAGTTCTCATGCAGGCTCTTCATATTAGTTCTCCTCCCAATAATTGCAAGATGCAATGCCGATTGCATCTACCAAGAATGCTGCAAAAACTTTAGCATTAGCAGCAACAACATGTTGCAAGACAACATCAACCATCTTTTTCGTCCTCATAGCAAAAAAGACTACTCTCTATGACTTCGATACCTCCTCCTATGGCATAGGTTTGGACATTATCTATGGTCTCACTTGATGTCGAGGGGACATTAGTCGTGAGTCATGCTCAACTTGCATGTTAGAATCTGTAGATAAGTTTCGAATAATTTGTCCTTTTATGTTGAAGCATGAATTTGGTACGAATACTGTTTTATTCGGTATGATTCCAACAACTTTCTTGGATAGTCAGACACAAGCTAGACACGAGCTATAACCGAACATGGTATTCATCACATGTAACACCATATCCTGCAAACTTCGATCAAGTTATGGAGGGGCTAACGGGAGTGGTGAAAGCGGCCGCCACAACAAGGGATGAAAAATGTGGACGAGGTGAGAGGACTCTTATGAAGAGCAACATGACTCTATGGAATGGCACAATGCACGCGTGATCTTTAAGAGCAGCCAATGCTTAGCGAAGGCATCAAAGATTATATTTGGGGATTGCAAATACAATTAGGTTGCTACGTGATCAATACTAGTTGCATGTTGAGATACAAGTTTCATAATTTTCTAATTGTCCATAAAGCCCCAAGTCCTGTTGCATATCCGCCTACTGATGTAGGCAAGGGAGGGGTCAAAACAAGTTGGGATTTAAATTTTGTGAGTTTATTTATCTCTACTAAAAAATCAGCTCATTAATGAGCTTCTTCTTCTTTTTCAGCTCATTAATATCTAGTAGAGAGCCTTTTAAACTCATAAATTGAAGATTAATTAGATTCATCCCCTCCTCCTTATAGCTCTTAGGTTTCTTCCCTTGCCTTTATTTATGACTTTTTGGTTTCTTCCCTTGTGTATCTTCCATTCCCCTTTGTCTCGTGGATTTCCGTGCTTGTCCCTTGGTTTTCTGTGATGGGTAGTTTTCCCGTGCCTTGCCCTTTGGTTCTCGCGGCTGCTGCTTGGTCCCCGTGCCTTGCCCCTTGGATTCCCGTGGCTGCTGCTTGGTTCCTGCGGTTTCCCTTCTCAGTTTGCTGTGCCGTTTGGGAATTTAAGTGTTGTGGTTGTTGGACTTTCATTTCCCTCATTTAATTAAGTATTTGAAGAGTTTTAGTGGCTGTTTGTATTCCCTCTTTTGGTCTATAAATAGGAGATGTTTTTGGATGATTAAAAGAGTGAAAATGTTATTTTTGGAGTAAGAAAACCTGAGGGTTTTTGGAAAAGCTTGAGAGCTTGTCCACTTCTTCTTCTACTTCTTTGGAAGGCTTGCGAGCTTTCTCCACCTTTCATCTTGGCTTCTAACCTCTTCTTCTATCCGCAAGTGCCACCTCACCTATATCCTTCTTCTAATTGATGAAAGCAACTTTAGGTGTCTTGTTTGAGTCGACTGTAAGAGTCATAAGTTTGTAAGGTGTTTATGTCAAAGTTTATATGTTGTTTGTAAGTCATTTTATAATATTAAAGTTGTGTTTTGTTTTGTGCAAGTGTTGTCGCTTTATCTTATGTAATTTTTGTAATGTTTTTAGTATCTTTTAAGTTATAGGAAGAGTTTATTTTGCTTGCAAAAATTTGGGGCCCTCTCCCAAATTTTTGCGTGCATCACCTACTTCTCCCTAAGTTGTCCATTGCTTAAAAAGATTATAAGAAAATTCTGTTTTTCCAAGTTTAAAACGGCATTTCCTTTCTATGTACGTTATGTTAATTAGTCATTGGATATGCCTTAACTTTTCAGCTTGTTACGCCAATCCTTTAATTTTAATTAAAATGTGTTTTGCATGGTCCTAGTTTCAAATAAATTAAGTTGTTCTTTCTACACTTAATAACAAATAATACACTCCAAAAGAATCAAAATATGCTATCTATTATGGTTTATGAAAGAGAATCACAATTAAATTTAAATTTTGAAGAATTTTTTAGATTATGATATAGGCAAAAGTTTCAATTTTTTAAAAGGACATTTATTGGTGGTTTGTTTTTTTTTCTTTTATTGAGCTTGGCCCATTTGTCCTTGGCTGCTTGGTGTTTGGAGGTCACGGCTGATGGGTTTCTTTGGCTGTTTGGTTCCTGGGCTGGCTGTTGGGTTGCCTAGCTGCTTGATTCCTGGGTTGGTCATGCCTTTCCCTTGGTGTTTGTTGGGTTTCCTGGCTGTTTGTTTCTTGGGTTGGCTGTTGGGATGCCTGGCTACTCGGTTCCTGGGATGGTCGTGCCTTATTCTTTGGGTTTTTTCTCCTATTTTCATTGGTTGCTTGGGTGGCACTTGTAGGAGACTGTTTGGATTCCCTTTACCCTATATATAGGGTTGTTTGCTGCTATTTTTAGAGAGAATTTTTTGGAGATGAATATTTGGAATATATAACATACGGGTTATCTAGCTTGCGAGCTATCTTCCTCTACCCTACTTCTACTTCGTCTTGGACTTCTACCTACTTCTCTCCACAGTTTCCATTCTACCTACTTCTTTTCTCCACAATTTCCACTCCACATATATCCTTCTTCTTAAGTTTTATAAGTTGTAGTGTGTCTTCGTTTTTAATAATATTGTTATCTTGTTTATGTTTGTCTATGTTTTAAGGAAGAAAGTTTCTCTTAATTTGCAATCTTAACGTTATATTTATCTATGTTTTAAGAAAGGAAGATTTGTGTCTTTGCACTATTTTCTATCGCACCAATTTGGTATCAGAGCCCTTGGTTGCCGTGCTATTATTCCTTTCTTCCTTAAAAAAATAGACAGCAGGAGTTTTAGCATTGCGAGGAGCTGAAGTCATAATCCCATCAAGAACAATTGAGAGTGGCATGCGGGTAAAAGAAAACCTCCTTGAACAAAATCCAAGTGCAAAGCTCCATGTCATGGAGATGGATCACAGCTCCCTTGACTTAGTCGAGACCTTCGCGCCCTCATTCATTTCAACAAATAAATGCCTAAACATCCTAGTAAACAATGCAGGAATAATGGCTTGCCCCATTCAGTTATCAAGAGATGGAATAGAGATGCAGTTTGCTACAAACCACCTGGGTCATTTCTTACTAACAAAACTACTCCTGGAAAAGATGAGATTTCTCCACTAACGGAGAATTGATGTAGGCAAAAGTTTCAATTTTTTTAATGGCATTTATTGGTGGGCTATTTTTTTCTTTTATTGGGCTTGGCCAATTTTTCTTTGGCTGCTTGGTGTTTGGAGGCCATGGCTGATGGGTTTCTTTGGTTGTTTGGTTCCTGGGCTGGCTGTAGAGTTGCCTGGCTGCTCGGTTCTTGCGATGGACATGCCTTTATCTTGGTGTCTATTGGGTTTCCTGACTGTTTGGTTCTTGGGCTGGTTGTTTGCTTCCTGGACTGGCTGTTGGGATACCTGGCTGCTCGGTTCTTGGGCTGGTCGTGCCTTGCTCTTTGGGTTTTTTCCCCTGTTTTGATTGGTTTCTTGGGTGGCACTTGTGGGAGGCTGTTTGGATTCATTTTTCCCTATATGGGGTTGTTTGCTGCTGTTTTTAGAGAGGTTATTTTGGAGAAGAATATTTGGAATATATAACATGCGGATTATCTAGCTTGCAAGCTATCTTCCTCTACCCTACTTATACTTCGTCTTGAACTTTCTACCTACTACTTCTCTCCATGATTTCCACTCCACATATATCCTTCTTCTTAAGTTTTTATAAGTTGTAGTGTGTCTTTGTTTTTAATAATATTGTTATCTAGTTTATGTTTGTCTATGTTTTAAGAAAGAAAGTTTGTCTCTTAATTTGCAATCTTAGCATTATATTTATCGAAGTTTTAAGAAAGGAAGATTTATATCTTTGCACTATTTTCTATCGCACCAGATTATAACTCAAATGAAGGAATGCACACTCTTCAAAGCTTTATTGTAATTTGGCATCAGCAAGTTCTTTTTGAAATATGGTATATATCTATGGAAAGTTAGCTATGATCATATTGGACTCAAAAATCTTCTTGAAGAAAATCTTTCATCTTTCATGTATCCTAGAGGAATTTTTACTTCTAGCCTATGTTGTTGGTTGGCTCTAGGCAAATTTGTAAGATTGTAGATGTGTCCCTTTGAAAGAGGAAATAATTTAATTTTTTGAGAAAATGAAATAGTATTGTCCAATATTGTTTAATTGGTTTCATCTTGAATTTTACAAGCGTCGTTAATTCTTATTTATGTTGTTGACCATTTGCAAAAAAAAAAAAGATTTTCATATTAATCAAGTGAATAGAGTAATAACCTCTTAAGTTATTCTTATTTTTACATGAATGTAACTAAAAGAAGAGAAGTATGAAATTTTAACCAAAAATTGTTATTATGTTAAAATTAAGATAGATTTTCCACCGATACTGATTTAGGGCAATGTGTGCAGGCTCGGCCATTCGATGTACTAAACTTGAAAAAGATCCTGACTCGGCAGCTAAAGCATGATCAACTAATGAAAGACTCAACCTCAAGTGTATAAGCTAGGAAAAGTGGCTTCACCAACGCGACCCTTGGATGAGGCAAAAAGTCTCAAGTTCGGCCTTTGGGCATGTGAGACTCGAATACAAGCTCCAGCATTCTAAACTTGGGAAGACACCTGAGATGTTTACTATTGGGTGATGCTTGCTACGATGCACAGTAGAAACATCTAGGAAAACCAAATCCTCTATTTAAAATTTGTTTTAAAAAAAAGAACCTTTGCATCCATTGTTTCCAAAGGGGGTGGTCAAAGCTGCCCCTTGGCATTATAACAAATAATATATAGTTTGCAGACCATATGCAGGTTCGTTGACATATCCTAACAGGTTCACATCATAGCATAAACTATCTTGCATTCATGCGGAGGGTTAGGCAAACACAACTAAAAATTACATCAACCCCTGCATACTAGCATTCTTGAGCAATCATGTTCATAGGAAAGGATTGTAAGACCCACTAAGATAGGTGACTTCTCCCACTGTAAGACCTACACCTCTGGTCATCCAACATCAACAACCTATAAGACTAGCACACCAGTCAAACCAACCTACATGATTTTGATGGGCATTAAATGGTTGGGTTAGACTAGGACCTAATGTATTGTCTTTCCCCAAGTTTATGAAGTCTCATTGAAAAGAAAAACTATAATTTTTCACAAGAACCCTCATATCAATCTCATAGGCCAAGTACATCAAAATGATGTAGGATATCATAATGGTCTTTGATTCTTAATGCAACTAAGATAATATAATAGATAAGTATTGGAAGATAAATGATAACTAAATACAAAAAAAAATTTAACTTTCTTTAGGTGTAAACTCAAAATACGTTGAGTCGACAAAACATGATAATGCTACCAACAATTATATTTGAAGGAACCAATGAAAATTAGAACCGCGAAAAAAAAAAAAAAAACACAAAAGCCCAATTACTACAAATTTGACCAAAATCATAAGCAAAAATTCAAGAAAAATACTATTTAAGAAAAAATTCACCAAGAAGAAAAAAATCCTAGCCTCATGCCAGCACAAAAAAATTTCATTCCCAATAAGTTTCTTATCATGTTAGCACCGCACTCAAAGGAATCTACATCCAACAAGCACAAAAGATTGAAAGAAGAAATCAAAAAGTTTATTAAATCAAAGTTCCCTATTACATGATTCACATAATGTATTTATAATCATGTATTTTCCCATCTTAAAGTAAGTAATTCAAAGGACTTGGTCACAGATCAATTGGCTGAAGGGTTCATGTAGATAAGCTGGTTTCAGGTCAGGCACAAATTTGGTTCTTTCCTTAAAAGAAAATGAACTGCATTTATACTTATCCTTGCCACAGATACCACTGAATAGTCCAAAGAGCCAATGAATCCAATTGAGAGAAATCCATAAGATCACAAACGAGAACAGACATTTGATCTTAGGAGCATAAATCCTCAAATCTCCATCAATGAATAATTAAAATATTATATGATGAAATAACTATTTTACATCTTCAAAAAGAATGTACACATTAATCATTTTTGGAAATCATCTGTAAGTGCTTAGACAGAGCATAAAAGTACCTCAAAGTTAATTACTTCTGAAACCAAGTGCCTTTCAAATTTCAATGACATTTCTCGTAACTCAAACACTTTCACTTGAGGAGGATAAATACCTGCCATGAATAAACATGATTAGAATATTGGATACTACGTAAACAACCAAGTAATACATATCTTTTCTAACAGCACATAGAAACAATTTCAGTAGTCTATCAAGTATGAGTGCGTGCTCTAACATACATCTACCAAAACTAGCATCAATCTTATAGCTGCTCCAGTAAAATTTAGCTTACATATCATAACCATGCCAACTTTGGTGTGCATACCTCCAGCCAAATTAAATTATATTCTCTTATTAAGATAGAGGATTTTCACTCCATTCATATAACATTGACATCAATTAACTGTAAGCCTCATAGTTTTCAAATACTTTATCTGTAACATAGTAAATCAGCCATTTAACAGCAGTTTAAAAGAACCTCAAAAAAAAAATGTAATGAATTAATCTTTACTTCGAGATCTAGATAAAATATAAATGCAATGTTTTAACGATTTAGCTATGGAAGTTTTTCAGCAGAAATTTTAGAAGGGTAAAGTAATGCATATAAAATCGACTGTAGGGACAGTAGACCCACATAATTTCCTTAATTTTCAAATATTTTGCACATGGTTTGCAAGGTTCCATCTCGGGTTTTTATATCACTCAGTTTCCAAATGTTTCAAAACCAATACCGAATGCAAAAGTCATTGGTTATTCTGACCATGCAACCACCAGACAAATTATCAACACTAAACTGCTGGCCTTCCATCCTTCTTAATATCCAATCATGTGGCAAAAGTGCAACATTATAGCTTCCAAGCATCCAATGCAATTCTCCATTAAACAACGGAGTTTTAATTCATTTTATTCATTTTTTTTAATTAGTAAGGAACTTCATTTCTTCAAATCTTTTCAGACTCATTTGTTAATGTTTAAAAGTATGAAATTAGCAAGTGTTATGGGAAAATTCCAATTAGCCTATAAGCCGTATATATATTTCTATGTATGTTTTTATTCTTATAATTAAAGCTACTGTCAGATTTATTTCCTACGTTTCAAATTTACCCCATTAGTAATTAGCCTACATGTAGGCACTCTTCTCAACCAATAACACAAATTTTTTCCCACATTCAACATGGTATCAGAGCAAGGTCAAGCAAAATTTCCTCTTCTTCATCCATTATAGTCAGCCAGACATTGTTTTTTCCCTGTTAACTGCTCTCCCAATCTCATTACACCCTTAAACCATCAAATATACTACTAAAACCTTTTTATTTTCAGCTCCATAGGCTGTCACTCTATCAATTTGGCATTCAAAAAGGATTAGAGATGTCTTTGCATTGCACTGCAGATTTATCAGTTTGATCATTGATTTAGCTCTCACATTGTTGTCCAGCATTAAGCATAGTGTTGCTCACCATTCTCCGCTTAAAACTTCTGCCAATCTTTTAAAATTCCAATATGCTGCCTCTGCCACTTTTTTCCTCATGTTATTGCTGCCCCGCCAGTCTCTGATCGTACAAAAGCCAAATTTCTCCATAGCTACATCTAACCTAACCCAACCACAAAATCTCAATTCCAACAAGTACATATTCCTTACCCAACCAGAAATCCTTAATCCCAGATTCCTTGCCAGCAAGAAATCCTCAATTCCAGGCATTCCACCAATTAAGGAATCCCTGCTTATGATGTTAAATTCAAAATTCAAGACTTCTAACTTCTTCCACAACTACCTACTCCAAAAACATTCTATATCCCTTTGGAACTCAAATTTCAAACTTCAATTTTAAAAATTGAAATCTAAATAACTAAAAGACCAGCCAATTTTTCCACCTTATTCTAAACACCATTTACCCATTCAAACTACATTGAATGATTTTCTAAATTAAGCCAAACCCAACAACAAAACAAACATAATCTAAACCTAGGGTAAAATTAAACTGACTGACTCAAAGTCTAAATTGTCTCTTCTTGCACCAGGAATAAGAAATCACATACTTTCTGGTCATGGGTACAGTGAAGGAAGCATCCATCACTTCTCAGGGGTCTTTCCTCACCGTGACTGTCTGCTGCAGCCACCAGTTTTTAAAGCATTTAGGAATTCTATACATTTTGCCTCCTAGTGCTCTCCCAGCAAATAAGGCTCATCAACAACAACAACCCTTGTTGTCAGCCATTTAGTAATTCCTAAGTTTAAAAGTGGAATACATTCAACATCCAAGGTCATACTCGTAAAACCTAACAATAACCATGTTCATAAATATTATAAGTATACTACAAGAATAAAAAGAAGATCAAGAGCTATGCCACAAAACTGATCACCAAAGGCTATGTCCTTTTACTAGAGGATGAAAAGAAGTCTAAACAGAATAAAGTTATCAACAAAAGTTCAGAAAAAAATAAATTTCAAGATCTTGTAACTTGAAATGAATTAAATGAAGTAACTGTTTACAATCATTTTAAATACAATCCTAAATAGTTGTAAAAAAACTAAATAAGCTATGATTAAATATTTACAATAATTCTTCTGTTAAAATACCTGATGAAATTAAGTATTCTCCATCAGGAGTCACCTTAATTTTGGTTGTCGCAGTTTCAAATTTCAAGTCCTGGATCAAATCCACTCTTCGGAGGTACTCTACAGAAAAAAATTTAATAGCTTAGTCACAAATTCTATTCAGCGTGACAATAAGAACGAACTTACAAGCAAGCAAACAGATTTCATAAAGATCATAGAATATAGTATGCCAACATAAAGCAAAGAGGAAATCCTAGCAGGACATGTCCATGGTTTATCCATCGGTAGAAATTGTGCGTTTCATAACCCTAGCACAAATTCCTTTTATCAGAATTGAACAAAATAATAACCCTTGCACAAGGGTCTGCTAAATGGCATCATTAAATGCTACTCACACTGCTTCTATCAAACTTGGGAAAAAATACAAAAAAAGGAAAATAGGGCAATGGAACAAAGGGTTTAATAAGTGTTGATAGTCACAGACTAATCAACGTATAGCCTAATCAATAAAAGTTGATACGGTAGAAAGGTTATATTTTCGTGTAGTAGTATTTTCAAAATAATTTGGAAGGTCAGTCGTATGAATTGAGGACAAAGCACTCAATATCAGTCTTTAATTCAACCCTGCCTGAGCCACAGCCAAAATACATAAGAAACAAAAGTTATTGAGCTCCAAAAACTAATTAAGTTATATTGAAACAAACATAGGAAATTGGTTATTCTGGTAGAAAACCTGCGTAGACCTAAGAAAACCATGAATTTTGATTTAAAGGGAGAGAAACTATGTCACAGAAGTTAAATTCTTCATGTTTTAAGTTTATTAGACAATGCTTTAGCAATTTCTTTCCTTTTTCTTTTCCCTCGGAGCAGTCTAGCCATCAACAAAACGGTATCACATAAACTCTATTCTAAATCTGGAATCAAGTAACCTTATCGACCTAACATGAGAACGCAACAACAACAAAAAGAAAGCATACCTTTGTCTTTTCGGAGGGCTTTGAGCTTCTTAGGCGGGAGCCATGAGGGCAAGGAACGCTGGCCGGAGACGGAGTATATCTTCACCCCGTTGAGAGAGGTGGACTTAATGCTCCCTACATTCGTCATCTATTCAACTTCAAGGGCGAGAATTGCTAAGCTCGTCACTGCAAATGACTAAAAGCCGTGACTTCCTTATTATTTCTTTTCACACTTCGGGGCTTTTTGGTATCAGATTTACAGTGGGATTTAAGTCGGATTTATGCTAAATCCAGCCAAACGGTTTTTGTGTGCTCGTTAAATCCCGGGATTCCGTAAATCCCGGATTTAGGGATTTACGGCTTAAATCCCGGATTTACTAAATCCCTCTGTTCGGCGGATTTAACGGGATTTAGCCGAAGAAGCGCGCGAAAGGGAGAAAGTTACCTTCACAGCCAGCGAGGTCCCGTTCTTGCTTCCGATCAAAATGTCGAAATTTCCGATCCGACAGGAAGGGAAAGACGTCGAAGGAGCGAAGTTGAACAGTCACGAAGGAAACGAAGAAGCGACGCATGCACTCTCTAAACCTCCTGCGAAGCAAGAAGCCTAACAGCAACGACCAAAAGAGAAGATGAAAGGCAAACCTAAACGCCTCTAAGTTATTATTGATTAACTTAATTAATATATTTTAAAATATTAATAAATATGTAAAATAATTAAATAATTAATTGTATAATTAGTGCATAAATTTATTATCTAGTTTAACTTAATTGTACAATTAATAATTAAATATTAAATAGTAATTAGCTTAATTAATATAACTTAATATGTATGTATTATATAATATTAAATTAATAGCTAAATAATAATTAATGAATAATTTCTACTTAATATGTTATTAAATTTATAACACATTAATTTTATTTTTAATTATAAATTAGTTTTAATTATAATTATATTCTTACATTTAAATCCCTAACTGCCATAAATCCTGAAATATATACCAAACAATTTCTATGGATTAATAAATTTAACATTTGACATAACCAAACAGTTTTCAGATTTAACACATTTCGGATTTACTAAAATCCGGATTTACAGGATTTACTAAATCTCACTTAAAGTTAAATCCCACTTGTTGCCAAACAACCCCTTCGGGTGTTGCCAACAGATTTAAGCAAATCCTGCCAAACGGTATTAGACGCCCACTAAATCTCACGGCGAATTATAAATCCTCCTCCCTCTCCCTTTGACCGTAAATCCAGGATTTAGTAAATCCTGAAATTAGCGGGATTTTTGGGCATAAGAAAAGCGCGAAAGAGAGAAAGATAGTTGCCTTCACAGCAGCGAGCTCCCGTCGTTGCTTCCAATCAAAATGTCGTACTTCCGATCCACGGAAACTGGAAGGCGACGTCGAGCAACTCGTTGCAACGAGGAGCCGAGAAGCGACTTGTGCAAAGTCTCTTCACGCGAAGCTAACGAAGTCGATGAAAAGCAAGCACCTAGAGGAAAAATAATTAATTTTCTTAATTAATATAATTTAAAATATTAATAATTAAAGAGATGAATTAAATAATTATTAATTAGTAGTATATATTCTGCATAATAATATGATTAATTTTAATATATTGGTCTATGATTAATCCTAGAGGAAGGAATCTTGTTTTCCCTGTTTGTTTAAATAATGTTCATTTTGACAGTTTTTATATTTTCTAAATAATATATTCAATAAAAAATTTAACTAATATTTTATATTAAAAAGTTACTTTAAAATAATAATAATAATGTCCAAATAAATAAGACTTTTTTGGATCAACTTTCTTTACTGTTTTGAAACGAATTTCAATATATTAATTTTATAATTTAAAAAAAATTAATAAAAATTTTTAAAAAAAAAACAAAAAAATTTTACAAAGAAACTAAATCTCACAAAATCTTAAACCTTATTTTCCCGTGATGTATCTTAAATATTGATATATAACAATCTTGACATTGGATGGATTCAACTCAAATCCAAAAGCCATACAAACTCTCTTTCTTTTTCTGCAGCACGAGCCTCGGTGTGACTTTCTTGCTTCCCGTGTTGAGGGATCGAACTGCGGATTCAAGTATTCGGATGTGTATTTGAGAAAAGAGCTAGGGTTTGAGACATTAGGTTTGTTAAGGTAATGTTTTTAAATGAAGTTTGGTGGTTTATTATATATTAATATTCATTGATATAAGTTAATATTTAAATAAGACATTATTAATAATATAAATTAACTTTAGTAATTAATATCAATTAAACAAAAGAAATTTTTTAAAAATTAAATATTTATATATAATAAAATAATAATTAATATTAATATATATAAGATGATTTAATTAATTTAATTAAAAAACTATGAATTTTAAATTAAATTTAATAACATTGGATCATAATTATAAGATACAAGTAAATAATGTTAGAATTAATATTAATCAATTAAAAATATTACAAACAACTTGATATTTTTAAAATATTATTTGAGACTTAAATCCTATAATGAGTATTCAAATTGTTTAGTTCATCAAGATTTAATCGTGTTTAACCTATGTCATGCTAAATAATTATAAGATACAAATAAATAATGTTAGAATTAATATTAATCAATTAAAAATATTACAAACAACTTGATATTTTTAAAATATTATTTGAGACTTAAATCCTATAATGAGTATTCAAATTGTTTAGTTCATCAAGATTTAATCGTGTTTAACCTATGTCATGCTAAATAGTTATTAAGATTTAACTGCCTTAGAATTTATTAAATTTGGATTCATATGATTTACTAAATCCTATTTGAGTGAAATCCCACTTGTGTCAAAATAGCCCCCTAGCGTTTCTCCCTCGTTATATCTTAAATCTCAAATTTACTTGATCCCATAATTCGACGGATTCAACTTAAAACTCCAGCATCTCTTTTTTGGCAAGCTCCGATCATGAAAAATCATTCTTTTTTTTTATGACGAGGAACCGTCAGCTGTCACACCCGATTTCGTCGAGCGCACTTGGCGACCCGTAAATCCTGGCAAACCTAATGGGCCACCCAGGCCACAAACCTATAGCCGGCGCTTTGGAGCCCCGACTTAAGGGCCAACTGCCGCTCGAGGAAATCGAACTCGGGATTGGGGGTTCCCAACCGAGCTAAGCATCGGTGGGTATGAACAACCATTCTCTTTCACAGGTTGCCAGTCCCATTAATGCCCCCAACGATACTTCGACACCATTACGTACAAGAGGATTAAAGCATTAGGGTTGGAACAACAGTAGATTGATTAAATACTATTTATTAATATTAATATGTGAATTAATGTTATTATATTGGTCCATAATTAAAAATTTCATACTAATTAATTACTATTTATAAATTTATTTACATTAAATTAAGTAAATTAATCTTGTTTATCTTAATATTATTGAATAAAAAAATTGTACATAATTATTTTGATAAATTATTAATTGGCATGATATCTCAGGCTAATTATGATTTAATTAAAATTGGTTAAAATATTAATTAAAATTATTACTTAATTAATTAAATAAAATATAAAAAATATTAACTTAACTAAATTGATTTTTTGTGGTGTAATTAAATTAAATTAAAGAGATTGGATTTAATTAAATTACTAATTAATAATTAATTGAGATATTATCTTATGTTAATTACAAGTTAATTAGTTTAATTAAGGTGATAAAAGCCAAATAAATATAATAACATCTCAGAATGATATAAATACTGAAATAAGTAATTAAATAATTTACCTAGATTTAACTTGATTTATGCTTATCATATCAAATAATTGTTCAGAATTTAAATAAAATTAGATCTATTAAAACCAAATCACTATTGAGCGTAATTACAATAGCACAGGATAAACTAATAGTTACAATACATCATAATAACAAATAGTATGATATTACACAATCAACTAGCAACATTACTTTTAAGTTGCATCATCTCTTATGAGCCAAGATTATAGGAGAACTTGTACAAATCCGGATTGAGAAAATGCATCCATTTCTTTGAATACCAAATGTTCAAAGAAACATTCAAGAAATTTTGTAACTTTCAAGTTATACCTCCTTCCCATAACCTCAAAGTTATGGGAAAGTTTACATCCACAAAATTCCCTTGTTGGGTAAAAGTAACTCATGTTCCTATATCAAATATAAGAATATTATTCTCATATCTTCAACATTCTCCTAACCTATGTTAGGTGAGTGAATACTTTTTCTTGGGCACCTAAAAGTCCAATGAACTCTCATAATGCGTAGTGCAAATCTATGTGTCTCATTCTCATATTTTTCGAACACAAATTGGACAGATATCCTCTCTTTTTGAACACCAATCGTTCAAAGAGTTTCCTCATATTTGCAACCTCTAAGTTGCATTTCCTCCACCCTCTCATATAAACCTAAATTATAGGAGAGCACTCAAACTTCCTTCCACTCTCCTAAACTCAAAAATTAGGAGGGTGTATCCCTCTTTTTGAAAAATCAAATGTTCAAAGAGCATTCAGAAGTTTGCAACTCATAAGTTGCACCTTCTTTTCTCCTCCAACAACTCAAAGATTGTAGAGAATATCCCCTTTTCATCCTTCCAACTCAATTTGGAAGAGTGAACTTCTCTCTTTGGGCATCTAAAAGTTCAAAGAGAACTCATTGTGGCTTGTAGTCCAACTCTGCATATCACCTTCTCCTATTTACCCAACACAAGTTGGGTAGACCACTTCCTTCCTTTGAATACCCAATACCCAAAGGAACAATCATAACTTTGCAACTCACAAGTTGCATTTTATCCCCTCTTTCTTCTCTACAAACCAAAAATTGTAGAGAAATTCCCCTCCTTTTTATAACTCAAAAGTCGTATGAAACTCTCTTTCACTTAACCTATGTTGAGTGAATCAATCATGTTCCAAATCAACATACTTGTTGAACCAAAAGCAACAAGTAGTTTCATCCCAAACATAGGATTCAAAGTCTTATCTCCATCCATTCTTCCAAACTCAAGTTGGAAGGGTGTAACCCTCTCTTTGAACATCAAAGTGTTCAAAGACATTCATGAATTTGCAACCCATAAGTTGCATATTCCCCCAACTCTCCTTTAACTTCCAAATCATAAGAGATTTTCCCTCTCTTTAGCTCCAAAAGCTAGAGAGTTCTCCAACATTTAGCCCAAAAGATAAATGTTGGATTCCTACTTTCTCTTCTTAGCTCCAAAAGCTAAGGAGAATTCTTCAACATGTAGCCCAAAAGCTATACGTTGGACATCTCTTCCTTAGATTCAAACTCTAAATGAAGTACCATTAATGTGACATACCACACAAGCCTCACACACAGGTGCATTGCCCCTTAGGCATGCTAGAATTATGATTTTTCTTTGTGTGCGCATTTAATTGATGATTTGGTGTGAATGCCTTTTTGGATTGTCTACGTTGTGGGCACATGCCCTTAAGTGGTTAGTATATAAATATATATATATTTTTTGTGCAGGTGGTTATGTCCAAAATGGGGTAAAATAAGTCATGATTTTTCTAATACTGTTTGCTTGCAGGCGCTGCTTAACCCCCCTCCAAAGGCATGACCAATATGGTATAAGCAGATACTTGGCATTCTAATTGCTAGAGAAATTTTGGATGTGATGTGATTATCATATAAACTGTCTTCTAACTCTATTTTGCAGACTTGAGTCTTTTCTATTTTATATCATATAGTTGATTAAATCTATGATGTAAAACTTGTGGGGTTCGGACTAGAAGGAAAAGTGGATTAAAAAATGATGTGCTTCCTTGGAGGTGAAGCCTAAGGATCCACTGAAGAGTTAAAGCTTGAAGACCCCCACAAGCAGAGACTGTAAATTTAAATGGATTGTATAATGGAAGGAAACTCAGCTGTCAAACATGTTTGTAATAATTGGGACACTACTTGCACTTCTATTTTGATTGATTTATATACATATGTTGTTTTTTTACTAAGTGTGCAATAGAACAGCATGTTTTTCCTAGGTTTCTTCTATTATTTTGTTTGGGAGTGACATGGACTTGTGATACGATAAGCTCTTAGGATAAAATAATTGTTTTACCCTTTAAATTGTAAACAACTTAAAATAAATATAGGCATCATGTTTTTCAAACAAGAAAATTTGTATGGCTCCCTTTTAAGGAGCCAAGTTGTCCAAAAATTTAAATTGAGCATGCATAGCAAAAAAAATGTCTCATGTAGAAAAGTCATCACTTAAGGATTAGATAATAAAAATCTACTTTCTTTGTGAGTCTGCATTCTGCATATCCTACATATATAGGCATCTTGGCCTCAAAGCCAAGCTATAAGCCCTACATTCTAAATAAAATAACCCTCCACTCTTCAAATGCATTGAGACCAAAAGACATGATTTTAAAAGCGTTTAGGTGGGTCTAGCTGGTAGTCCTCTCCAGGCATGACAGTAAATCCAGGGGTCATGCTAATTATGCATCATGTGAGGAGTAGCTTATAAGTCTTTTTTGCATTCATTAGACTTAGGTTCGAGGCACACACTCTCGGTAATCCTACCTTAGTTTTAGGATCTGAGGCATTGGTTGATTCCAAATCACCCTATAAACCCTCACCTTTCGGGCAATTCCTCCAACATGTGTTGTTGGAATGTAAGCCCCAAATTTCTAATAAAAATGTCAACTTAAATAAAGATTAGACTTCTAAAATGTAAAGCACAACATAGAATAATCCGAGTACCTCAGAGATTTCTCGGAATCGAGTGCTCCTATTTCACCTCCTTTGGCACTCATTCCAAAATCTGATTCTAAAGTTTATCCTTTCTTTTTCTTTAAATTTCTGAAGGGTCAAAACTTTTAAGCAAGACTTTCACGGATTTTCAAAAACTAAATTTTAGTCAATATTTAAAAGACTTTAAAAAGAAAGAAAACCACTAGTTTAATCAAAAATTTTCTCAAGCACCAAAGCTTGAGATGTAATTAACCATAGGAGCTTGCCCCTATGGGACATCTGTACCCCAAAAATAAAATAAACCTCATTCAACCAAACATCGAATGGAGGAATTTTTGTTAAATTATAAATTTTATCATTGAGTTCATAGGAAAATGATATTTTTATCCTTCGGGGTAATATATCATCATTCTTATGTCGTGTTGAATCATAAAGTATACAATCCGTTTGAGGATAACAAAAATTCTTCAACACCAACTATCGTCGGATTTACACTCGGCCACCAACTTAAACCAGATTTACACCTAACCACCGACTGTCGTTGGTTCTTCCAACCTTGGTCGCCAGACAATAGTCTTTCTGACCATTATCGCCAGCTGATTATGGTCCTTAATGCCTATATCACCATACAATATTAATTTTGACCATTGTCGCTCGCTTACTACAATACTTCTAACCTTCGTCGCCAGACAACGGTCTTTCTGACCACCATCACTGGCCGACTTAGATAATTCCAACCTCCGTCGCCAGATAACAGCCTTTCTGTCCACCGTTGCCCGCTGACTATTGTCCTTCCGACCTCCATCATCAGACAACGATTTTTCTAACCACTGTCTCCTGCCGACAACGACCCTTTCAACCTCTGTCATCAGATAGTAGTCTTTTCAACCACCGTCGTCCGCCAACTACGGTCCTTTCGCCCTTCGTCACCCAACTATGATCTTTCTAACCTTCGTTGAATGCTGATTATGGTCCTTCCGACCTACATCGCCTGACAACTATCTTTCCCACCTCCGTCGTCCGACGACTATGGTCCTTCAGACCATTGTCACCCGACTATAGTCTTTCTAACATCTATTGCCCGCCGACTATAACCCTGCCAACCAAACGAACTTATCAATACTAAGTGTTCCAATTCCCACCATGTAATGCACTCTATGTATATTTGTTACATCAAACCAAGGCCTTTCCCCCAAGGAAATGGCTCATTTGTAATTGGGTGCAAATACTAATGGATTCATTCAAACTAGGCCACGCCCCATAATTTTTCCCTTATTTTAGAGGTTTCTACGTAAAAACTCTAATCTCTCTTATAAACAATACACCCTCTCTTTTATCTGATTGTTTGCTAAATCTTCATACAAAGCTAAAACGTTCAACTTTATATTTCTCCACCGCTGCGAATAGTCCAAGACACAACACTCTTAATTTTTCCAAAATAAAAAAACCCATCAAATGTCAAAAGGCAAAAGACCTGACACAACTTTTTTTTGGGCAATTAGGGTATTTAAGCGCAAATCCACCGAAAGAAACAAATTCCATCAACCAATAAGATATAGTTCTATCCATTATACAAAACTTATACAAAATTTGCAAGAACACAATTCAAGCTCTACGAGATTCGAATCATCTTCATTTATCAGGCTTAGCTATCCAATTCACTTTAAATGGTCAAACTTCACCAAGATTTGCTGATAGAAAATGATCAGTAATTTTTAACCAATCTGCATATTTCATTGCCCTTCAAAAGGCTATTCAGTATTCACACTTTTAAGAGGTAAAATATCACCTATATTTATATAGGTATTATCAAAACGAAAACAGCATAAACTTTTCAATTAAAAAAGGACTATTTTTTAATACTAAAAAAATTTTTGAACTAAAAATTATTTTAAGAAGCAATAAAAAAACCGTCCTAAATAAAACTTACAACTTTAAAATTAGAGAATATATCTCAACAAAACGAGAAAGAGTTGCTCACTAAGTGAAAACTACAAACTTATTTCCTAAAATCTCAACAAAAATCACAAGAAACTACTTGGATAGTTATAATGAATAAACCAAATGGATGATATTTGGCATGTTTTAATAAATATCAAAGGTGCTAACATCTATGAAACAAAAGAATTGCACTAATCTATGTACGTACCTCAAAGTAGTATAGACACAAATGGATACTTAAAATAACATCTCTATATAACAGAGGTTACTCTAACAGAATGATCAGCAGAGCCTGTTATGAAGATTGGAAGCGTAGGATGCCAATCCACACTTGTTATTGCTGCAGTATGAGGAAGTGTTTTGAAGGCGCTCATATGATCCTGCACCTGATGAATGAAGATAACAAGTTTAAATGATTTGCCCAAAACAACAGAGATCATGAGCTTACATAGAAGGAAGACAGCATTTTTCAGGTTATTTTGCTAATTATTGAGTCAAATATAAACAAGCTCAAATTTGTTAAGGAGCTTAAACTTTTTGTTCATGCTTAGCTTTTCATTATTTATGACTCTGATTGCATGAAAAAAAAAAAATTCATGGTGCAATACCTTCTAAAATTCACATAATTTAAAATATAAGTATTGCATGATTTTTTTTTTAATAAGTATTGCATGATTTCTAAAATATATTCAATGGCTTTTGATAACAGAATTAATCATTCTGTAAATATCATCAAATAGACATTCAACATGTAAATATTATATATATAGTGCCGATCATAATTGAACAGGCTCTTGTAATCATGTCAATGTTCTGCTCATTTAATAATTAGTTAATTACAACAATAACATCAAGCCTTTATCTCACTATATGGGGTCGGCTAAAAAAATATAATTCAAGATCACTTAATTTAGGTTTCGTTTGGGAGAAGGCTTTCTTACTGCTTCCTAATGCAGCTTTTTGGTACAAAAATTAAATTTTTGTACTAAAAATTTGCTTCATTAAGCAGTAAGAAAGCCATCACAAACGAAGCCTTAATGTGAAAATTTATACAGCCAAGCATAGTTATTCACGAATATAGAGCTCCTGATAGTAATCTAAAATAAGAGAAGATGCTCCACCTGGTAAATGGGGGACCTAACTGAGCCTGATGTAACTAGCAATCTCCTTCCATTTGAATCCAGTGCAATTTCATGTCTGCATATCTTCTCACTCTCAGGGTAGCAAAACCTAGTCAAGAGAGCAATCAAAATGAAAAACAAACTCATAAAAGTATTTTTTTTTTTAGGATTTCTTTTTAAAAGAGGCAAACATGATGTGTCCCCAGACTAGCAAGGCATGGGCATATATCATGGTTTTACATGCTTATTTTCATTTATCCTTTCACACAAGCACCCGAACCCCTTTGATGGCACAACAGGTATGCTAAGTTATAGCTTCAGAGATAAGAGTCACTTAGACAAAAAAAAAAAAATTAGAAAAGATAAGCTAAGTATGACATAAAAAAAATGTTATGAATCAATGTGTATCATCTATGGAAGATAAAAGAGGAAGAAAATAAATATATGTAATTTAGTGAATGTACAGCAAAGATTACAAGAACGCAATTTACATATATATCATAGAGTTCTTATATATATACATGAAACACTAAACTATTATATTTATTTATATAACGCTTAAATATCTTGATCACATCAAATATATGCATGAAAATATGCATTTCACTTTTCAAAAAATAATAGTGATATTTTTTATGTGATTTAAATATTTAAGTGTTATATAAATAACTATAAATATTTAGGTGTTAGAGATATGAATACATAAAAATTCTATGACAAAAATATGCCAACATGTGAATATAATGCACTGTAAAAGGACTAAGAAAAAATATATATAAACCAAAGATACTTGATAAGTTGTGTAAGAAGATTTATTGATTTAACATCATGTAACACCTGATAGAGAAAAAATGGAAAATGAGAACTATAGAGCCAGTCCCAAATAGGTGCGATATAGCTAATGATGATGATAATGAAAAATCAGGTCACTTGGAATTTTCATTAGTAATCAAACCAAACGTCCGCTGCAGCTCTTCTTTAAAAAACTGGCTAAATTTTTTCTATAATAGAATATTGGTAAAACTATATAGCTTAAACTACACCTATGTCGTACCTGCTGCAATCTCTGGACCAAAGAACTTGGCCTTGATTCTGCAGGCTCCATTCAAAGATCTGCAAACACTAATACAAAATGATTGTCCTTGCAGAAGCTTAGACAGACAATGTTTATCGTACTACTAAAAGATAATGAAGCGATAATATTGCATCAGTAAGAATATCATTTGTAAAGGACATAACAAAAATCAGGTTTTTAGAATAGTGATGAACTAGCTGATTTAATTTGGAGGTAATTAGGAAGTTTCCTAATCAAGAGTAAATTATTTAGGAAGGTTCTTAATCAAAGAGGAATTATTTAGAAAAATTTTAATTACAACAACATCAAACCTTTATCCCACTACATGAAGTCAGCTACATGAATCTTTTTTCCCCATTGTGTTATGTTAAGAGTCAAATTCTTATTTAGATCTAATAAAGAAATGTCATTTCTAATATTTTATAACCAAGTCTTTTTAGGTGTATCTCTACCTTTCTTAACACAGGTTAAATCTAATACATTACTCTCCTAACTAGTTATCAGAAAGTCGCCATTTTATGTGACCAAATCATCTAAGGCGACTCTCTCTAATCATATCTGCCACTCGAGCTACTCCAATCTTTTCACGTAAATGCTTGATTTGTATCATGTCTCTAAGAGTAAAGCTACTCATCCACGTGAGCATCCTCATCTCTACAACACTGAACTTAATATTATTCTTCTCTTTTAATGGCCAACATTCTGCACCATAAAGCATTGCAGGTCTAACCAATATCTTATAGAATTTTCTCTTAAGTTTGAATGGTACTTTTCTATCACACAACAAGCTCTATGCATTCCTCCACTTCAACCATCCAACTTAAATTCTACTTATAATATCCCCATTTATTTCACCATCACTCTAAACAATAGACCCAAGATGTTTAAAACGTGTACTCTTATTAATAAATTGATCGCTCAAAGTCACAAATCCCCTACTAGATCTATTACTACTAAAATTATACTCCATGTATTCGGTTTTAGATCTACTCAAACAAAAATATTTAGATTCTAAGGTTGACCTCCACAATTCAAGTTAACCTTCAACTCCCTCTTTAATCTTTATTTACAAGAAGAATATCATCAGCAAAAAGCAATACACCAGGGAACATCCTCTTGCAAATCTCTAATAAAAGCATCCATGACTAAAGCAAAACGATATGAGCTTAAGGTTGATCCTTGATGTAATCCAACTGAAATTGGAAAATATTTGGTCAAACCAACTTATGTTTGGACACAAGAAACAACTCTAGCATGCATATCCCTAACGACTTGAATATAAAAGCACTATTAACCCCTTTATTTTTTAGAACTCTCCATAGCACTTCTCTTGGAAAATTATCATATGCTTTCTCTAAATCAATAAATATCATAAGAAGATCCTCCTTATTCTCTCTATACTTCTCCATCAAAACTCTCAACAAATGTATAGCTTCCATAGTAGACCTACCAGGCATGAATCCAAATTGATTTTGAGAAACATTAGTACATATCGTAACATTTGCTCCATAACTCTCTCCCATAGTTTTAAAGTATGACACATCAACTTAATTCTTCAATAAATCGCACAATCTTGTGCATCACCTTTATTCTTAAAAATAGAAATCAAAACACTCGTTCTCCACACATCTGGCTTTTTTTAGTCTTCAAAATAATATGAAAAATAATATTAAAAAAGTTTAGAAATCCATGAAATTCCCTCATCTCCTAAGCATTTACCCACCTCTATTGGAATATCATAAGGTACAACAATTTTCCCACACTTTTTTTTTATTTTTCTTTAAAACCTCTCTAACTTCAATTTTGCGCAAGAGATATTTGAATTCTAATTTGGAAGGGATTAACTAGGAGTGTTTCCTAATTAAAAAAGGCATATTTGGGTGTTGATTTGAGAGGGAATTGGGGGAGAGCTGTTATTGTTTATTGTTTGCTATAAGTAGTAGGATTTATGTTATATTTTGTATGAAGAATTTTGTGAGTGTTTGCTGTAAATTATTTTTGTGAGGACTCCTAACGGCGTCTAGGGTTCTCTAAAGAGGACAATTGCATCTTTTTTGTTCGTATTTCCTTTCTTATACATAAAAATATGTTGTTTGTTGAATTTGTATTGGTTCGTTGGTTGTCTTTGATACCAAGGCATATCAAATAGCCTTCACGTTAAACAAATGTCAGGTTTTGGAATCTCATAAAAAAAAAAGAGGGAAGGGCGGATTTACAAACCTAGCACTTACATTTACATTAACATATTTAATGTCTATATTTATTTATTTATATAACAGCTAAAACTCCTTGACAACATAAAATTACAACTTTGATATCTTCCATCACCCAAGTATACAAAATTATTGCTAACTCTCCAGCAAATGAAGCTCTTTTCTCCTCTCTTGTCGTCTCATTTGCCCTCTTTCTAGAGGCTGGGGAGGCAATGAAGTAGGGGAGGTCTGGAGTCATGTAGGTTTGTAGTCATCGAGTCAAGTAGAACAGAGATAGAAGAGGGTTAACGCCTATGGAGCGAGTCAAATTTGTGTGAGAAAGAAGTGAGTTTGCACCTATGATGCACCAACACTTCTCTCCAAAGAGATATGCAATTTCTGACACGTATCTGATATGACACACGCCCGACATGCCTTTGACATGTCATAGACAATTAAAAAAATTAAAAAAATAAATTAGGCAGACGTACCCGACACGCCTCTTAAATATTTTATAATTTTTTTAATAAATTTTTTTTTCTTCAATTTTTATTTATTAAAAAATACAACCCCCCCTTCCTTACGGCTCCCAATCTCACGGTCAAACAGCCATCCGTGAACCTCCAGCCCACCTTCTCCTTGTAGTTTCCCTTGCCGCTGGACCTCCTTGTTTGCCCAAGCCGTGAATTCCAATTCCCAGGTGACTTAATGAATTGCCTAATCAAGGGCTCATCTTAAGGCAAGGTAATTAATGGCACTTAGAGCCATTTTGAAATTCGAATTCAACTTTCCATCTCATCTCAAATCCACTTGGGAAGTTACTCAATACCTAATTAAATCTGAAATAAAATTCAGGTTTAATTTAATTACCTACTTAAATTTGGGCCCCACTCTCATAACTCCTAAATCTCTCTCTCCCATATGGCCGGCCACCTCATCCCATTGCTCCTCTATTTAATTGCCACATCACCACCTCTTAAATGCCTCCTCTCACATAATTAATTCCAGATTTCTTGAGTTTTAATTTCAGATTTCAAAAATCTGAAACTGAAACAGCTTTCCCCTCTTCCGTTGTTATTGGATTTTCTCTTCCAAGTGATGCAAACGTGAGTTCCCTGAACTCTTTGCACGTGGCCCTCAACCTTCCCCTCATCTTCTACCGGCTGCCCACTCCTCATTCCAGCATGGGAACTTGCTAGCCGGCACCCAAGAAAACTGCAGGCTGCTGTCCAAAGTGTCCAGCAGCTCCAAGAGTAGACCGGATCCTGGTAGACCCATATTGGGTGCTGTCCAGGAAGCTACCTATCCACGAACGACGATCTAAGGGTCCTTCTTCCTCGGAGTGGCCTTGGTTCTAATGTGGAGACGCTTCTTCCGCTAAAGCCTAGATTAGTGAGTGTATGGGCTCTAAAGCTGAAGGTTCTCTTTATTAATTCGTGGATTCTTGTTTATTGTCGTAGCGTACAATTACTCTTTGAGTTTTCTTGAATTGTTGGGTTAATCGATGTCACTCTTCGTTGCCTAAACGAGTTAAAAACTAAGAGTTCTAAGGATCAATAATTGTTATAATTAATAAATTTATTTTGGGATTATTTTGTTAAATCTGTTCTCTTTAATTTCCTTAAAATAACTCCTGAATGAGTTTGTTTCACATCAAGATATGAGCTTAAGGCTGATCCTTGATGTAATCCAACTGAAAATGGAAAATACTTGGTCAAACCAACTTGTGTTTGGACACAAGTAATAACTCTAGCATGTATATCCCTAACGACATGAATATAAAAGCACTATTAACCCCTTTATTTTTTAGAACTCTCCATAGCACTTCTCTTGGAAAATTATCATATGTTTTCTCTAAATCAATAAATATCATAAGAAGATCCTCCTTATTCTCTCTATACTTCTCCATCAAAACTCTCAACATATGTATAGCTTCCATAGTAGACCTACCAGGCATGAATCCAAATTGATTTTGAGAAACATTAGTATTATATCGTAACATTTGCTCTATAACTCTCTCCCATAGTTTTAAAGTATGACACATCAACTTAATTCTTCAATAAATCGCACAATCTTGTGCATCACCTTTATTCTTAAAAATAGAAATCAACACACTCGTTCTCCACACATCTGGCTTTTTTTAGTCTTCAAAATAATATGAAAAATAATATTAAAAAGTTTAGAAATCCATGAAATTCCTTCATCTCCTAAGCATTTACCCACCTCTATTGGAATATCATAAGGTACAACAATTTTCCCACACTTTTTTTTCTTTTTCTTTAAAACCTCTCTAACTTCAATTTTAGCGCAAGAGATCTAATTTGAATTATAATTTGGAGGGGATTAATTAGGAGTTGTTTCCTAATTAAAAAAGGCAGATTTGGGTGCTGATTTGAGAGGGAATTGGGGGAGAGCTGTTTTTGTTTATTGTTTGCTATAAGTAGTAGGATTTATGATATCTTTTGTATGAAGAATTTTGTGAGAATTTGTTGTCCATTATTTTTATGATGAATCCTAACGACGCCTAGGGTTCTCTAAAGAGGACAATTGCATCTTGTCTATTCGTATTTCCTTTCTTATCAATAAAAATATGTTGTTTGTTGAATTTGTATTGGTTCGTTGGCTGTCTTTGATACCAAGGCATATCAAATAGCCTTCACATTAAACAGATGTGAGGTTTTGGAATCTCAAAAAAAAAAAAAAAAAAAGAGGGAAGGGCGGATTTACAAACCTACCACTTTAAACATTTACATTAACATATTTAACGTCTATATTTATTTATTTATATAACAGCTAAAACTCCTTGACAACATAAAATTACAACTTTGATACCTTCCATCACCCAGGTATACAAAATTCTTGCTAACTCTCCAGCAAATGAAGCTCTTTTCTCCTCTCTTGTCGTCTCATTTTCCCTCTTTTCTAGAGGTTGGGGAGGCAATGAAGTAGTATCTCAACACTAAAGTCATATGTTGTCTTAACATTGAAGCACGACGCCACCAATTTATACACCCACAATCACGCCCCTGCGCCATCTCAAATGTCGCCAATTTCTACACCCACAATCACGCCCCTGCGTCGTTTCAATGTCACATTTTTTTTTAAACGACATCTCAACATCGACGACTAACATGTCTCAGCATCAAGGGCTGATCCTATTTTGACGTCAATACCTGATGCACCATTGCATAGCATCCATGCTCGAATTTTTCAGCAACATTGTCATCTATCATCTCGATGTCTCACCTGCCATCCACGTCCGACTCTCAACATTCTAATACTAATCATTTTAAGTGCAGATCATAGTTAAATGACTTATTATTTTTCAATTATTCTTAATATTCTTCTTATTCAATTCTATACATTATTTTTAAGATATAAAATTATAATATTGTGTCTAACATGTGTATATGTCATATATTTTTAATAATAGACGTATCCTATGTCCGTGTCATCGTCTTCGTGTTTGTGCATCATTGCACGCAGAGAGTTAAGTGGTAATAAAGGGTAGCATAGTAGTAATTTTCATATATTAAAAATTTTTAGTCGTTATGTAGATAAGAAAAATTAGGCATTAGATATAATAATACAGACGTTTAAAGTGGTATTTATGCAAATTCACCAAAAATAAATAAATATCATTTGTCTACTTTCAAAGTTCATTCAATTAAAATAATATAATATATAAACTTAACAGGAGAAATAATTTGAAATGCAATTGAAACGAATGATTAGAAAGCTTCCGAGGAAAAAAAAGTCAACAAATCAAATCCAATGTTGCATGCCTTGCCATCAGAACCCAAACTGAAAATGCTCGTCTCATCTGGTCCAAATAGTACTGAGCTGACAGCTGAATCATGAGCTGGCCATCCTGTGATTTGTAGACCAGCAGACATATCTTACGTTGATTAAGGAAGTTGAAAATCTTGAAGGGTCAATTGGTATCTTGTGCATCATATATATTGAAAAATAAGTAGGAAACCACGCTCATAAAGACCAAATATAAACAGTGTGAGCCACAAAACTCGGTTTTAATGATCATACTTCCACTAGATCTTGCTAATTATGAGATAGAATTAAAACTAAAAGGCTAAGTAATCGGTATAAGTCATAAAAAGAGATTCTACAGCTACAGCTTCCCACTGCTACAAACCTGGAACTCTGAAATAATTGCTAAGCATCCATGTCTCATGCCAAGTAGTTAACCAAGCAATCTCTAAATTTGAAAAGACTACCCCAAGTGATTGATAGAAATGTAGAGTGGATAAGGTATGGATCTAGCTGTTATTAACATTGTTTCCTGAGCCTACTACTACGATGTATCCAGTTTATGGTGGCACACTAAAGGTCTTTTTTTTTTAGGTGCTTGGATCTCAACTCGGAAAAGAAGTTCCTTTGAAAAGAGTTGCAGTGAGATCTGTTTATTTTGAGATAATTCACTTCTTTTGAATTTAGTTCCCGTATTTATTTGAGCTGCAGCGAATTTCAATTTTACTTTATTTTCACATCAGTTTTTGTTATGTTATTATAAGAAAAAGTAATACTCCAACCCATCATTCCATTAATTTAATATTATTATATTATTCTTAATAGTAAAAAGAAAAAAAATGAAGGTAATTCCATAGCTCTCAAGATTGACACTATTAAGGAGAGTTTTAAGAGTGAGAACTCAACTTCATCTAATTTCAACGAAAAACACTTGAACTCTTCTGAAAGTGAGATGTAAACACTTCTTGTCAACTTGTAAACTTCCTCAAAGAAAATTGATTACAAAACGCAGTTCACATGTTGTTCGTTGGAAATCTTTGTAGAAATTTTCCATGTCGTGGAATCTTGCAAGACTTTCAAATTTCCTATATTTACTTCGGGCATACTAGGTACATAAATTTCGAGGCTAGATTCGTTCGATCATGTAACAACGTTATTTAGAACTCAAAACTAGGTTCAAACAAAAATTTCAATGAAATTACCAAGGGTCCACAGGTACATTTTATCATGTCAGGGTTCAGTATTTTTTAAGTACTTCCTCTCAATTTGAATTTGTCCGTACCAGCATTTGTTACTAATTGCAGTTTATATAATTTCTTATAAACATCTTCTATCCATAATAGCTATGCCTACCTCGTTTTTCTATCCTAAGTAATCATATCAATTCTCGCTTCAGGCCTTATCATGCCTCTTCTTCTTAGTTATAAATATCCAAACTATCTGCTCATTTAATACGAAATCCTCCAGGGTGGATCTGACGAACATTCTTTAATCATTCAAATTTAAACCTTAATAATTTAATAATATTTTTCTCATAACAACTTAATTTCTACTGCACTTATATTGCCTTCTCCATTTCGCTGTAATACAAGACGAATGATAGTTTTCATTAATCTTTGATGAATTCCATTCAACCATTAAGACATTCAATAATCATAAATCAATATACTGTCTCCTCCATCAATCATCAAGCTTTATTCCTATTAATTACATGATTATACATCCCCATTCCAAAAAGCATTAGATTAACTTAATGATACCTAAGCCTATATCACTTGCGTACTTAACATTCTAACAAGTTAGTTTAATCATTACCACTCATGTCCACTAAAATTACATAACAAACAATTGTACTCTTTCGACTTGAAGCACCTAGTCTTAGGCTTTTTTCCCACTCACATCACATCAATCTTTTTGCGCCATAAATGTGAAACACCTTATGTAAAAGAAGCTAAACTATTTAAACATCAAGGTGCCTTTGGTGTAATGGTCAAATTTCATTAAGAAACTCTGCAGCTAAACGTGCTCATCCCGAAGTCCAGGGATGGGTGACCTCCTGTAAAACCCGAATTCGTCAATAGTAAGCGTTGCACATATCTCGATGCGTCACGACAAAAATTAAGTGAAATTTCAAAGTCGTCGGATTTAGACGAAATCAATTTTATAAAATTCTACACAAAATTTCGAGCAAATTGATATAAATAACCTATATTGAATTTCGCTTAAATTGGAAGTTAAAATTTTTAGAAGTTTAAGTATACCTAAAATACCCTTAATAATATTAAAACGAAATAAGGCAAGTAAGAGTATTTAGGACTTTATGCAATTAAACATAGCAACTCCCTCTTACAGGGACCGAAATTCATTTGGTCCCCATTCATTTCGTGCGGCTGAAATGAGAGACGAAGGGAGGAGGCAGACGGGAGACTTCGTGGGCGGCTCCGACAGCAGTTTTCGGTGGCCGGATTTGAGGGAAATTGTAGAGGAAGGCAAGGGGAAGACTAAGGTATGCTTAATTTAAGCATTTCTCCATTTCTTTCAAAGTTTTTCTAAAAAGAAAATTTTAGGGTTTTTCAAAACTTAGAAATTCTTGTAGAAAATGTATAAGAAGAGTTTGAGGAATGATTCTAAACATAAATTTCAAGTTTTCCCCAAAAATTTTTTGATTGGAAAATTAGGGTTTTTCTTAAAAATTGAAATTTCTTAAAGAGCTTTCACAAAAATATTTCCTATGGGCATAGGAATGTTTCTAAAATGAAATTTTAGCTTTTTTTTTTAATAATTTGCTTTTTTTATATTTTTTCTTATTAAATAATCCGAAAATAGATTAAGGTATTTATAAATTAGGCTTGGGGGAAAGATTGGAATGATATTGGGATGAAATTGATGATTTAAAGTTTTCCAAAAATTTGGTAATTTATTTAATCCAAAAATTTAACTTAAATTATTTTAATTTCATTAAGCGTAATAAGGATCAAATAGTAATAAATGAAAAGTTTCGACAATTTAGAAATGTATAAAGTTTTAAGGAAAAATTACTGTTGATATTTCTTTATGTGTAATCTTAGGTTTTGATCATAAAGGAACGACACGTGTCTAAGCGACGTCGTATGTCGTAGATGTTTGCTTTGCAATTGCTAAGGTAGGTATTCCTACCTCTTTTAAGTTCATAAGTTCTTCTTGTTAATGGTCAAAATTTCATATGCTTTATTATGATATTTTAGTTTAAAAATTTTATGTCAATTATTTAAAAGTCATACTGCGCAGCAAGCTTATATTTTCATGTTTAACTTGTGACATTTTAGAAGAACATTTGAGCATGAAACATTATTAGACAGACACATATGAATTGACGATTGATTTAATGTTCTTATGTTAAGTATGGAATGATTGAATGTGCATGATGATCTGGAGTACCAAATGGTAAACGGACTCTTTGGAGTCAATGGTAAAAGGGCTTTTCGGAGCCACTGGTAAAGGGTTTCTTCGGAGCCAATAGTAAATGAATGACCAAAATTTGATTGTGTATATGATCGGTACAAAATACTAGTATTTCTCGAACGGGTGTATAATTATATGATTAACATTTTATATATTGATACATTTATGAATAAAAGAAAGTTTTGAATGAATGAAAGTTTTACGAAGAAAGGAAAATTTTAAGAAAAGAAAAATAAAATTAAGGAAAGAATTATGAATTCAAATGTTATGCATTCCTAATGTTATATTGATGAAGCATACATAAAATCCTTATGTTATTTAAGTCTTGTCATACGAAAAGTTTACTGCATAATATTTCTTCTTTCCTTGCATTATGAATTTAATTGAGATATGTATTACCTGTTGAGCGTTAACTCACCCTGCTTTTGAGAATATTTTTCAGGAGAATCTATGATGTGAAACAAATCAAGATGATGTGAAACAAATCCAGAGTTACTTAGGGAAATTAAAGATAGCGAATTAACAAAGTGTTTCCACAATAAATTTATTACTTATAACAATGATTGACCCTTAGAATTCTTAGTTTTTAACTTGCTTAAGCAAAGAAGAGCGAAGTCGGTTAACCAAACAATTTAAGAAAACACAAAGAGCAATTGTAAAACTACGATAATAAACAAGAATCAGCGATTTAATAAAGAGAACTTTCACCTTTGGAGCCCATACACTCAACTAGTCTAGGTTTTAGCGGAAGAAGAGTCTTCACATTAGAACCGAGGAAGAAGGAGCCTAAGATCGTCGTTCTTGGATAGGTGGTCGGAGTGATGGAGGATGACGGTCGTCCAAGGATGATCCAACGTCCCTTTGATCTTTGCTCGTCAATCACATCCACTAAGGTGTAATAGATACGGTCGATGTAATCTTCAATGATATCGTCGAAGTCGAAGCCCACGTCAAAGAACGATGATTGGAGGATGTCAACTTGATCTTGGTCGTCACACACAAATCCAAAGTTCCATTCGGGCTCCGCCATGCATCCTCGCCAAGGGTTGAATGAGTACTCAGGATGGGAGAGGGAGGAGTCACGGTTTTGGAGGAGAGAGAGGGGGTGGGTGAGGTTATGAGGGGAAAAACTAAAATCTGAATTTTAGTTCAGATTTCCAAAAGTGAGGAGGGATTAATTTCAGTTTTCAAAATTTGAAATTGAAATTAACTTATGAGGAAAGGGATTAAGGAAGTAATAAAAGAGAATTAAAAGGGGAGAGAGAGAGGGGAGTGGCCGGCCAAGCTAGAGGAGAGAGGGGGGTTTCGGTTTTGATGAGGTGGGGCCCTTAAGTAGATAATTGAATTAAATCTGAATTTTAATTTCATATTTAATTATGTCTTAAGTAACTTCCCAAACTTTAAAATGAGAGGGAAACCAAATTTGAATTTCGAATTTGGCTTTAATCTTATTAATGGGCTGGATTAATGGATGAGCACCAATTAGGAAAGTGATTACTCGAGGGATTTGAAATTCAAAGGCTGAGAATTTAAGAGGGGGAGGCGGCGGGATGGAGCTGTGGGGCTGGCCGGCGGAAGACAGGCCGGCGGGTGGCTGGCTGTTGGCCGGCGGAAGGCTGGCCGGCGGGTGGCTGAGCGGCTGGCCGGCGGAAGGCTGTAGCCAGGGGCCGGCGACTTTGGCCTGCTTGGAGTAGGCGGCGGCAAGAGCAAAGGGAAAAGAATTGGGAGTTTCTAGAGACTTGAGTAGCCACGGATCCACTAACCTCAATTGCCTTCAATCTGAATTTCCACCACGAATGAGGGGACGAGAATTTAGAACTCACAAAGAGATCTATTTCCTCCGACGAACTCACTAAGAGATCGGGGAGGAGGAACTCACAAAGAGAACTCAAAGTAAAAATTTCATTTCATCAAAACTGAAATTACAATGCATGAGGCCTCATATAAATAGGTCAAAATGAAATAACAAGAAATGACACAAATACCCTTCCGGGCTACATAAGCGACTCAATGCCCATAAGTGCAAAAGCGGAAAAACATCAAAATAAAATAAACTACTACATAAAATGACAAAATACAACTCATGCTTCGTGGCCGTCGATCTCTGGCGTCTCATAAAGGTACATGTGTCAAAAATGCTGACGATGTCCTCATCAATTTACTAGAGAGTGATGGCGGAAAGACAGTTTACCTACCGTCGTAGAGAGTCCCAGAATGTCAGGTTTTTATGTTCATGTTATATAATGTGTTGGTTGTTGTGTCGTGAATGGATGTAAGGCTTTCAATTTATGTTTTAAGAGATTTTATGCGTAGGATGTCATCATTGTTATCATTTGCTTATCATAGTATTATTAAAATTAAGGGAAAAGATAAAATATTCACTTGATCAAGTCCTATGGTCATTCATAAAAATTTAGTTTGAATATCATTATATTTTGTACATATACAATCACGACATTTTCTACCCTTAGTATTTTAATCATAACTACCATTTTATATTTGAATCATAAGTATAAGTAATCAATTTTTGTCATCTAGAACCCCAAAATCAAATAGTAATAATATGCTCAAAGAAAATATCATATCAACCAATAGCAGACACCCATATCAAACCCACCAAACCCTGATGACATATTATGGCGAAGAAAGTTACTCAAGACTTCATAGGAATGTCCCAATCTCTTATTGTAAGTCAAAGCCCATGATCAAGCTTACTAGCTACCCATCACAACCTCTATGCCAAGAGTATCATCCTAGACCTTATAAAGATTACCCTATATAGCACTACTATTACAATAGAAGGGCTAATTATCATTACTCGTACAATGATTAGGAATTCAAAGAAAGATGCATTAGATTTCAAGAACTTTTATTCAATGGAAACCAAAACCCAACCATCCCTATAGTTAATGAAGAATCCACTCATCCCACATCAATCCTTAATAATAATAAAGAAAAACAAAATTGAGAAAGATTAGTGCAATTCATTACTAAATCGTGGTCTGGAAAGGAAATATTTGTAGAAACATATTTAGAAGTTCTCAACGTGAATTAATCACCCCTAAGACTAAGGAGCCTTCCAAAAATTCTACTGAATCTCAGGAACAATATTCTGATAAACATCTTATGAAATTATATTCTTTTAGAAGGGTCACTGATCTTATGCCTAGAAAATTTTCTCTAAGGAGCTCCATTGACTTAGAATCAGATTTCGATCAAGATAGTAGTGAAGGTCCTATCTACTCATATGATATCTTAAGCACATTGAATTTGACTGTTATTGAGTCTCCTCTTCCTTCGCAAGTTGTGTCATACATTCTTTCTCATAATAAATCTCCTCATTTCCTTGTCGAAGTTTCAAGATATTTGAACTGAAGAATTTATGGGCCCATCGCCTCTTTAGAGTTCCACTAAATTAATGCATCAACCAAGATAAGTTTTTACTTTACAAAACCCCGTATTGATCTAAAAATAACAACTTTGCTCTACATCTTGTCATTATTTGATATCGCTGGTTAGCAATTGCCTAACTATATGTGGCTATTGCTCGACTACGATTGGTCACCAATGGACAGCATCTTGTTATTGTTGAATACCATTTGGTGAGTGATTTTTCAACAGCAGAATGCAATGCCAATGAGATCTTGAATGGAATCCAATTCAGATACAAAATAAATCAGTGGGTCAAAAGAGGCTGGGACAAGTGCATGGGGTCGTCTTTGCCAAATGAATGTATGGGTGATGAGGGTGGGTACAATAAGATGATGCAAATGAGAATTGGCAACACCGAGGAAGAATTTAATGTTGGATTATTGCGGGGGAAAGTGAAAGAGATGGTCATTGAGGAAAGACGGTACCCAAAGATATAAGAGAAGGGATAGATGAATGTATGTGTGGAAGCAATGTGAGGGTAGCTAAAAAGCTTTTAGAGGTCACTAAGCTAACGTGAGCAAGGAGCTTGGCATTGTTGATTGTATATTTGGCATAGCTTATAAATATAAAATGACTTCAAAATTTGAAATGCTAGTCATCCAAATAATAACCCAAAATATCATGAACTAACATTTAAGTCCTACTCAACAGCTATTTAATTTGTTGCAACTCTCCCTTAAGAAAAATATTTCAAAGGAAGTATTGATGATTGCTTTGGCAAATCTATAATGAGTAAAATTACAAATTAAGAAATAAATTTTTAGGACCAAGAAAAAGTATAAATTTGCCCAAAGGAATTTCAAACGAATGCTTCTTCTTCAATTATTGAAAGAAAATGACAAAGTATACAGTTAGTTTAGCCATTTATCAATATTGAGAAAACTTAGATCATTGGACCTTTGTTCTTATCTAGAGGAAGAACATTTTATTTGAACAGATACATAATGCATATTATTCTTCTCCAGAAGAGTATTCACCCAAGACGGAACCCTAAACATTACGAAGCGACCCTCTTTTCATTCCGATCTCTATTTACTGCAGACACAAGCAAGTACCAAAAAAATCTATTCATTTTCTCCACCACATTAAATCACCAACAAGCACAATTAAAATAAACTGTGGTCATATTCAATTTCACTAAAGAATCCACTATTTCCAACTTCCATTTGATTCACATAACAAAATGTCTTAGCCATTGGACTTAAATGGCATAAAAACATCTCTAAACCATTTGTAAAAAATTTATGGGTGATGCTTTACTAGGAGTCTAGGATGACATGTTTATAACTTCAATTTTTGGAACAAACAGGGCAAAAAGCCACAAAAAAAGGTTATTAATATCAAAAACAATCTTGAAGTATCATATGTTTGGAAAAAAAAATGTTTAAACTCAATAACTACCCTCACCATCATCTATCATTATCGCTATCATTAGCATAATCTGAAACTAATTACAGTCAGCTTAATATATCCTTTTTAGCTATTCATTCTTTAAATTTACATGTGGCAAAAACCAAAAACCACATATAATCTAGTTGGGAAACTTCTAATCGTTATATCGTTGGTCAAACTTTTCCTTCAAATTCAATTTTGCTCAACCTTAAGCACGCTAGAATCACCTAGGTCATTTCTCTACACTTGGTAATTAAAACTAATACAAACAAAATAAATTCTACCACGACAGCCTTCACTTGTAAGAAAACTTAACAGTAAGTGCACAATCATATTCAACACCAAAGCATCTTCAACAACTAGATGAATGCAAGCATTAGCATAGGGGATATAGATCTGAAAGATAAATGGCACATTTTTTATATGCAGCATATAAAGGATACCAAACATGTGAATCATCCCATCAGTAGCAGAAGCAGCTAAAATCTTCCCATTGTGATTGAAACTCAATGAAGTGATTGCTGGTGGATCTTTACCAAGAGGTAGGGTTGCCTGAAGAAACAAAAAAGAAACTATCTAAATTAGTGGATAATTCCCCTTTTTGTTCAATCATTCTGATTTTATCAACAACATAAATGACTTCGTCAAGCATCCCTACCATGGCCTTCCATGTTTTCATGTTCCAAACAGTCAAAGAAGCAAAGCCCATTTGATCAATTTTACTAAAGCCATGCCTACAAGTAGTTTATCAATGTATGAACAATAAGAATCATCTTACATAAACGTACAGAAATCTTGAAAATTCAATAGACATATACAGAATGTGACATTGAATATGAAAAACAACATCCGAACAAGCAACATTAATTGTCTATTACTAGTTGAACGATAGGGAATGTTGAAGGCTACTAAAGAGAGCATCAAGTGTAAGTTCCTTGTAAAAGAAAATGGGAGTAAACCAAAAGGATGATGAAATGAATACCTCATAGATGCAGCAGCAGAGACAAAAATTGGTTCCACGGGACTACACTTCAAGTCCATGACGCTGCAATGCAAACCCAAGGTGATAAGTAAAGAAAATTTCAAATTTTATCTTCAAAACTATCTTGTAAAGGACCTTGGGAATTCTTGAGTGGTATTTAGATCACAGACAACTCTCTTAGCATCAACATTCCAGGCTTTAATGCCTCCATCAGCTGTCCCTATGAGCAGCTATCGTCAAGAGAATGAAGAAACACCAAAAATATAAATTTCATGCATCCTCTTTATCAAGCACAGCAATCAAAAATGCATAAAACAAACCAGTCATTGCATGAGTTAAAATACCAAGCGATCAGATCTGCAATCCCATTCAAGTGACATGATCTCAGCCCCACAGTATATAGTTGCATTTCTTGATGCCGTTGTAGATGATCCATATGTCCAAATCCTATAATGGTTTAATTTCATGAATGAGCCTTGTAAATAAAAGGCTAAAATTTTTTAATGTTATTAAAAATAATAATTACCTGACGGTGCCGTCTACAGAAGCACTAGCAACATTAGTACCAGAAGCAGAAAAGCGACACCTACTAATTGGATTTGTATGCCCCAAAAAAGTTTCCTGAAAATCAAAAGCCCTGTTAACCTAATCCTGTAAACCAGAAACAGACCAGAAAATAAGTCATAGTAAAAGCATGAAACAAGATAAGGAAGATAAATAAAGACGCCAATCGATTAGAGACAAACATGCAAAAAGCACAATTAGCAGTTTGACTAGTTCACTTACCTGAAACTCAACTGAGACTTCGGGGAACTCATCTTCCTTCATAACTTCTCGCCTGATTTCTGTATTAAATTCAATGCACTGAAAATATTCAATAATACTTCATCTCCAAAGTTCTCCATGCATCTATTCAACTTAATCATATAAGAGAAAAAGGAGTCTGGCCATATCATTCATTGTTTTTGGGATTAAACTAGAGTAAACTAAAAAGTTGCTGCTACAAGGGCTTATACGGGAAAAACTATATGATGAACAGAGGAAGGCATAAGGAACTATATTACATCGGTCACAAAATTCCAACCTGAAAGGGACATCTGAGAAGCATCCTTGTCTTTAGCTTCAATGGGGGAAACTCTATTCAAGGAGATTGAAGAAACATCTGATTTTGATACTACTAGATCCTGAGAAGTATTAGCTGAGATTGAGATATCCCCTCCATTGGCAACTTTCCTAGCCCCAGCATGGGGATCGTTAGAAGTGGTACTTTCATGGCAGCCCTCTCTTAAGAGACTGTTTCCGATATCCGTCAATGTGTGTTCATGTGATGAACTATCAACAGAGTTCCTCGCTTGAAGATTGCATATTTCAGGCACAGTTGCAGCAATACTGATAAGGAAATGCAACATCAAGTTCAAAGCACTATCACCACAGAAAAGGCTATCTCAAGAGAAATAATAACAAATGTCCAATCTAAACCAACAATTTAAATGTATGGATAGGTTGATGGAGATATGAACAATAACATGAAAAGCTCATAATTATAATGGGAGTAACAGCACATGATGTGTGCATACAGCCACACACTTATGAAAGGGGAAGGCCAGCATGGCAATTTCTTCAGTAGTTAGGATACCAAATATGGACTATGCAAATAAAGAAAAACCACCTAGCACTGAGTGTCAAAATCTTAAACATGTATTGCAGTTTGAAGCCAAGAGAATAGAAATGAATGCACGCCAAGAAACTTCAAACATAAAAGGAATGAACATAAAGATAAAACTATGAGCATGCATATTGATGTAAGCAACTTGAAACAAAAACACAAAGAGAGAACAAAGAAATTCAAGACTAACTCTTTAGAAATTTAAGACACCACTTGGAGAACAAAATAGGCTAAATAAACAACTAAATTTCAGAATATAAAAGAAGCGATCATCCAACAAAGCCAAAGCAAAAGAAAGTTAACAAAAGAAACAAACTAAAACAAACAAAAGCTATCCTCAGAACATCCTACTAGAGGACTCCTCACATGCACCGATTGTAGGAATATATATATTTCAGATAATGTTTAGATATGCAAACCAAAGGGTCCACCACTGCAAAGGGGTCCAACGTCCTACCAAACTCCTCCAGCAAATGCCACCAAAATAGCCAACAAATCCACCAAAACAGCCAACAAACTTTACCAACGGAACTAGAACAAAGATACAGGTGGAGTGGAACTTGCGGAGAGACGAAGAGATTAGAAGCCCGAGAAGAAAGGTTGGAAAGAGCCCGTAGGATTTCCGGAGGGGATGAGAAAGAAGACGGACAAAGCTCGCAAGCTTTTCCAATAACCCGCAAGTCAATAGCAATTTTGCTCACAATAATTCACCACCCAATTCATCTCCAAGCATCTCATATATATAGGCAATAGGGGAGAAACTTAACAGCCCAAAAACCCCTCAAATCCCATATAAAAATAATAGAAATGAAATGCCAAAAGTCACCTTGCATGATATCCCAAGAGTCTCAGCAAAGGCAAGCAAAAAGGCCACGGATCCAGCCAAATACAGAGCCAAAGCCACGGCTTCAACACAGGAAACCAGGAGGCATTTCACGGGTCCAGCAGAAAAAGGCCCTCTTGAAACCAAAAAACAACCCAAAGGACAAGGTGGACCCCAAAGCCAGCAAACCCAAGGTAAGCATAACCCAAACCTTTTCCTACCATGATCATTGGATTTACCACCATCATTGGATAGCATAAAAATAAAACAAAAAATAGAAAAATACAACTAATATTGTTCAAAACAAAAATAATGCAAAAAATCTAAATGCATCACATATTAGTAACAATTCCCTCATGAATGAAAGAAGGATATAAATAACTGTGGTGTTACCTTCTTAGTCTTAATATCTCAGATTCCTTTGTCTCTAACAAAGCTTGAAGTTGTGATAGCTTCTGGTTTAGTTGCTTAATGTCAGCTTCAAGACGCCTGACTGTATTCTTTTCTGTACTTATCTTTAATAGAGCGGGGACACGTAAATTGATTAAGGAACTCTAAGAATGAATAAGTAAGATTACAAATTAAAAAAAAAATTGAAATAAGTAACTTTAATAATACCACAGGTTTAGTATGAGTATAATGATGTAACTTTCAAAACGATAACAACTCAATTAGCAAAGTTCCAAGATAGCTGACTCAAGTGTAGTAGAAGAAGGAATTAAATATACTTATTTCTTTTAGGATATGAGTCCCATTGAATATCTCACTCAAGATATTGTGGAATGAAAGTTGCAAGGCATCAAACCAGTCCTTTGAAAAATACACACGATACTGAGGATCCAAGCTTGGATTCTTAAGATATGGAATAGCTGCAAAAAAATACTTCAAACAAAAGCACACTAAGATCATAATAATCTAGAAGTCTAATGGATAAAAACCTACCAAACCATGGTAGCCATTCTTCACGCCTCTGCAATAGATAATTCCCGTTTGAAGCAAAAAATTCCACTACCTTGTCCTGTCTTCCGGTTTGCAAAGCATGAACAATATAATAGCGCAAGATTGACAACTCAAGCTTCGATAGCGTAGAAATAAGAACTGCATCTGATGATGAGGAAAAACATTGCTTGAAAAAGCTCAGCAAACTAACTAATTTGTCCGCTTGATATTTTGGAACATAAACTGAGAAAACTAGTTCTATGATCTTATCCACTTGAAAGCTTCTACCAACATCGGTTGACAATTCTCTTTCAAAGACTTGGAGAGTATTAGTAAAACCTCTGAAAACAATAAATTCCCTCACAAGTTCTTCAGCATACTGCATGTTCTCCATTATATCTATTTAGCTACACGGACATAATGAACACAATGCATCAATAATTGTAAACCTACATAAGACTACTATTCTCATAAGAGTTGAAGAAAGATATTTACTGCTGAATTAATTCAAAGAAAAAAAAAAACAGAATCCTATAGCTGGTAAAAATATTAGATTGTGGTTTAGTCACTCGTTTCAAGCAATACAATTAGCTTAGATAAAGATGATTATTGAACATTTGTTTGTTTGTTTTTTTTTTTTTTTTTTTTTTTTGGGGGGGGGGGGGCTAAGAATTGAGCTAGTGATAGTGACTCAAACAAATTAACATAAAATATCACCACAAAAGTGAGATAGTAAGAAACTTTTTTTACAGGCATTATTGTAATGAGTAAAATTGGAACTTACCTAAGATAACTATCTCCCCTTATTCAGGGTTCCTATCGTAAAAAATGAACTTTACACTCGGAATTCTTCTTACTGCAAGGAAATCAAAATATTTTGAATTCATGCAACTCTAACTTTCAGTTAACACAACTAAAAAGGAGACATTTATATAAGCATTCAGTTATTCATATGCTTGTAACATGAAGAGATGATAAAACTGCGGAAACAAACTAAGAAAGGAGCCACCTCTACAAGCAAGGACTGACAGATAATAGACATCAGAAAAACAACACCTGTCCACCATGAATTTGAGCTTTGCAACTCAAACTGCAAAGCTTTGGCATTTGGATGCGGAATTTCAGCACGAATTGAGCAGTATTTGAGTTAAACCTTGCCAAACGCCAAAAAACGGCTGCTCAAATCTCACGGTAAGTTAAATCGCGATTTCGACATTTTTGCCCTAAATTCCGGATTTAGTAAATCCGATAGTTCGGCCGATTTATGGGATTTAGCCAAATAAGCGCGCGAAAGTGGTGAAAGATCGTTACCTTTACGGCGAGCTCCCGTCGTGATTTCCGATCAGCCAGCAATGACGTCGTCGAAAGCAGCTTGCTTTAGCGACTCTTTCAAAACTCTACATCATACTGAGCACGCGAAGCCGAAGACATGGAGATGAGGATAAGCAAAGCACAGAGCAAAGAAAGGAGAATTACAGAAATAGAGGAGGGCTGAGAATGAAATTTTACTATTTTAGCAAAAAATTTAGCAGCTAGGATGGGCCCTGTTATGACTCTTACCATCTAAGGTAGGGGTGTAAGTGAGCCGAGCCGGCTCGTGAGCCGGCTCGAACTCGACTCGTTAACTGCATTAACAAATATTTGCAAACTGTTTTTTTTTTTTTGAAAACCCGGGGCAAAAGAGCCCATATATTAAGAAAAAGAGTTCATATTATAAGTAACAAAAGTAAAGAAAAAGCAAAGAGCTAAATCTAAACAAAATTACAAAGACTATAGCAGTACTGGGAAAAGAAAATGGCAACAACAAATAGACTCAGAATTAAGGCACTGTCTCAATCATCAAAAAATTCAGAGGCGAGAACTATATGAAGCAGACGGTGGCACTGGTTGCCCACAAAATCTGAGTAAGCGACAGAATAACCCAGCAAAACTGGCCCTCACAGTGACTCCAGCCCGTCCAGAAAAAGTCACAAAAACGAGCCAAGTTGCCCATAAGACCCTCAATGGCTCGGAAAGACAGTCCATGCTCATCATCGTCCGTTGTGCACATGTTCATCCCACAAATACTGCCATAATCTTTGAAGTATACCCGAGATTTGCTTGTAAAAGGATCTAAAGACAATCTGGAATGTGAATGCAAAAAACCGAAATCCACATTCCCAAAAAACAACTTATCCCAGGTCTGAAGGAGAATGAAGTTCAAAAAAACCAAGCTAAACCATAAGTAATCGTCCTCATAACTTTGCTTCCCAAAAACCATAACCAAAGAAGATGGCATCCAAAAATATTTGAAAACAGTCCAAACTAAAAAATCCTGAACCTTTGAAGCAATAGTTCCCTGTTTTTCCATTTTAGAGTTTTCAATCTTAAAGCCATGGAGATATTGCAAAACAGTTTAGTCACATTGACACTGATATCTCCAAAACGCCTGTTATTGCGTTCTCTCCATAAATGATAGATAATACAACTAATAGCAAGGTAGCAAAAATCCTTTTCAGCTTTGTTGTATCTAACCGAATTTTGAATGAATTCCAGAGTTTGCGGTAAGTTAGGCCTGAGAAAGAAGCATTTAAAATCTGGGAGAATGGCCGTCAGAATATAGAAGGCAAAGTCACAAGTAAAGAATAAATGTGTATGGGTTTCCAGATTTCCAAGACAAAATGAGCAGTTCAAAGGCACCTGGATGCCTCTAGAGAGCAGGTTGTCAGCAATTTTAAGCTTTCCCAATCTTGCCATCCAAGCAAAACATGCAAATTTCAACGCATGATACTTATGCCAAATGGCATTATACCAGTCCACAGATGGCACATTAGCATAATAAAATTCCATAAAATTTTTGAATAACCACTTCTGGGAACCATTCCACAAAACCTCATTATACCTTTTGATTTCCACAGCCATAATTTGATCAGTTATACTAGTAGGGATGGTATTAGGAAGATGCCACATACCATTAAAATAGAAGTCTTTCACCTTAGTTGCATCCATCCCCCGATGCGCCTCCCCAATGACTTGCCCAGAAATCCATGGGTCCCAAAGAAAAGCAAAGTCACTGGAATTTGAAACAGAAAAAATTAACTCATCCTTAATTCTAAGTGCTGTTTGAGCAATTTTTTTCCAAAATTTGGGTGCATTGGAAGAAGAGGGCTTCCAAGGAGAGATGAATTTGGCTTTGAACCAGTGAGTTAGCATGTTTTGATTGTTGTAGAACCTTCCAATAATAGAGCAACAAACCCCAAAATAGAGAGCCTCGATTGAAGGTATGCCAAGACCACCCTTGGATTTGGGAAGAGTAACTGATTTCCATGAGATAAAATGAAGTTTCCTCTCCTCTAAGTTGTTATGAAATAAAAACTTAGCACAAAGTTTGTTAATGGTAGCACAGCAACTTTTTGGTATGATGGAACCCCTTATCCAATATGCAAGGGTGTTGGAGATAGTGAATTTGAGAAATTGTACCCTACCTGCAAAAGAGAGAAACTTATTCTTCCAACCTGCAAGTAGAGCAGAAATTCTGCTCAATAGAGGTTGGAAGTGAGAAATTTTAAGTCTTTTAACTGATATGGGGATGCCCAAGTAGGTAAGGTGGTGGTTGACATTAAGAATTCCAAGTTCTTCACAAATCAATTGATTTTCAACACTTTGATGGGAGAAAATGATGGCGCTCTTGTTGGAGTTAATAAGAAGGCCTGAAAAAGCTCCAAAGGTTTGCAAACATTGATTCAGTTGTCTAGCATTTTGAATAGATGATTTCCCAACCACTAAAAGGTCATCAGCATACATCAAATGGCTGATTTGGACATTTTTGCAATAAATACCTTGGAATTTTTGAGTGTCAGAAAGGAGTAGGGAAAGACCATCCATTGCAATACAAAAAAGAAGAGGTGATAAGGGGCATCCTTGCCTGAGACCCGATGTGGAATTGAAGAAACCTTCAAGAGAACCATTTAAACAAATAGAGAAGTGAACCTCACAAATACATCCCTTGATCCAATTAACAAAGGCATGCGGGAATCCCTTCTGAGCAAGTCTGGTAATAATAAATTCCCTCGAGACTGTATCAAATGCCTTTTTGATATCAAGTTTAGCACCAAAAAATTTCTCCTTTCCCTTAAAATCTCTCAATATATCAGCTGCAAGAATGATGTTATCAGTGGAGCATCTATTAGTAATAAAGCCAGATTGGCTTTCATGAATGATATATGGGAGGACCACTTTCAGTCTATTTGCCAAAGTTTTAGCAACAATTTTGTATAAAACGTTACAAAGAGAGATTGGTCTGTAGTCATTGATATTGGCAGCGTGCGAACATTTAGGTATTAAACCTATAGCCGTAGCCTTAACACCTCTCGGCAAAGATCCCTTTGTGAAAAAATTGTTTACAGCATTATAAACTTGCAAACCAATAACATGCCAAGATTTTCTATAGAATGCATAAGTGAAACCATCAGGCCCTGGAGCAGTATTCTCATTCCCATCAAAAACAGCCTTTTTAACTTCTTCAAGAGACAATGGTGCAACAAGCATATCAATGTGATGTTGGGGAACCATTTTACCCGGAGGGATATTAAGAGGTAATTGGATATTGGTTTGATTAGAGTTGTATAACCCTTCAAAGTGCTTAACAATGGCTCTAGAGATGTCACCAAAAGAAGTAAAGTGACCATCAACAGTAGTGATCTCCTTAATGCAATTCTTATTGTTACGACTTCTAATTTTAGCAAAGAGAAAACCCAAATCATCTTCTCCCTTAGTAAGCCATAAGGTTTTAGCACGCTGAGATAACCAAGAAGTCCAGTTAGCTTGTAATGAGGCCATCTCCTCATTAATACTCTTAAGATTTTGATTTAACTCCAAGTCAAGAGGTCTATGTTGAAGCTCAGTCAAACAAGAGTTTTGTTTACTTTTAACTTCTAATAAAGCATTAGAAAGATATGAAGAGGATGCCCAATTTCTGTTTTTCAGAAATCTCTTGAGGAGTTGTAAGCTATGTTGGAAGGATGCCATAGGACTTCTAGCAGATCTAGAAGAAAAGGCATTAAACAAATCATCCCAAAAACCAGCCATATTCATCCAGTAATTCTTGAACATAAACCTAACAGATAGAGGCTTATCATGAGTAGAGTTGAAAATTAAAGAAGAATGATCTGAGCCAAAATGTGATTCCACATAGTAGTAGGCAGTGGGGAGAAAATCCAACAATGCATTATTCACCAAAACTCTATCCAATTTAATATGAATTGGATAAACCGCCCGTTGGTTAAAACCATGTATAAAAAAGTCCCGTAGAAGAAAGGTCATGGACCCCACATTTAAAAATAATGCTATTTAATTCTCCCAATCTACTATTGGAAACAGTGGTACCCCCTACCTTTTCATTTTCAAATCTGAAACAATTGAAGTCGCCCAAAATAACCCAAGGTTGATCCATATTGATAGAAATAACAAAAAGAGCCTCCCAAAGATTTTTCCGATCTTCCATGGAGTTAAAGGCATATATAACAGTAAGAAAAATAGGTGGGAGTGAACCCACAGATATAATACCATGAATAAATTGCGGAGAGGAGGAGATTCTAGTGAAGGAGATAACCGAATTATCTCATTTTATCCAGATACGACCCACAGAAGAGTCCTCAAAGTTGTGACAACTATCTTCACTATCAAAGAGACGGTGTTTGCGTAAAAACCAAGTGTCCATAACAGAAGAAGGAGAAATTTTGGCTTCCAAAATACAAAGTAACTTAAGATTATGAGAGCTGATAAGAGACTTGCAAGAACTCACAGTTTCAGGGCTGTTAAACCCCCTAACATTCCAACAAGCTAATTTAGGAACTGATATTAGGACTTTTTACTGTTGGCCTTCTTGGCCGACTTTCCTTTCTTGGATTTGGATTGGTTAGGAGACTTTTGTTTATCCACAGTGGATCTAGTATTGTGACTTTTTTTGTCCGAGGAATGCAATTGTACAGTATCATCATTAGCATTGGATGAGGAAGCCAATTCCGAATCAGAGACAGAATCCACAGAATCTGGGAGAAGGTGATCTTCATTATGCAAAGAGGCAAATTTGTTTAGGAGAGGTATCTTAGGAGGTAACACCAATCGGGGAGAGGCAGGCTGCCCGTTAGAGGAGGATTCCTCTATGGGAGTGTTGAGATTAGGAATCGGGGGGGGGCTGGGGGTGGGGGGGGGGGGGGGGATTTAGTCAAAATGGTGGGAGGTTCAGAAGGAGGTGGAGGAGTAGACTTAGATTGTGGTAAAGAGGATTCAGGAGGGATCAACACCTGAGATGGAACGAGGTTTGCATCAGTTGAGATAGGTTTGGGAGGTGGCAAAATAGATTTTGATCGATGGTTTCTGGAGGAGCGTTGTCTGGAAGAGCTTCGTCCACGATTTCTCTGGGGTTGGGGGGGGAATAACAGGTTTTGGATTCGGGTTTTTTGGGCAGAGAGAGAACGGATGAATGAAAGAGCCGCAACCTTCGCATTTATCCGGTTTCCAATCATAAATAACTTTTAAAACCAAATCCTCACCTTCGATTTCAAGAGGGATTTCGTCGGGGAGAGCCGAATCCTTAGAGATAAGGACACAAACCCTGGCGTACGTCAGTCTGGATCTGGTAGCCGTAAGATCGTCCACCGAGATCGGAATACCGATGTAGCTTGCAATCTTTGAAATACCAGTAGGAGTCCAGAGAACTAGCGGGAAGTCCACAATCTTTATCCAGATGGGGATTGGAGCATCTTCATCCCTCTTGGGCTTGAATTTTGGCGACCAGCGTTGCAAAATAAATGGTTTTCCCAGAATGAACCAAGGTCCACCCGAAAGCACCATTTCTAGGTCTTCCGCAGTGGTAAACTTGAGCAGAAAAAAGCCATCGGCTAGGGAGAGAAGAGTCAAGGAGCCTTTAAGAGGCCAAAGCTTTAACATGGATTTTAGAAGCCTTTCATAATAGGGGCGAGGGCCCAACGAGTACCCGATAAGAGACGAAGTCCAGATGTTTTTCCCTTTCGACAAATCATCTGCCTTGAACGAAAGCTTTTGAGTCGGATTGAAGAAAGAAACAGGGAAGTTGGCGAGCTTGGAAGAGGAGGAGGCAGAGACGTTAGCAGCGTAAGAAAGTCCCCCAGGCAAAGGACCTAGCACAGAGGTGGGTGGGGGGCGTGGAAAATCTTGCGGAGAGGCAGCCATCTTAGGAGGGAGGAGCCCTCCTAAGCCAGCGGCGAAGAGAAACCCCCGGCGGCGCAAACCCTAGCAGAGCTCCTTAGGGCATCCCGCGTTCACTTAAACAAAATATGAGATACTCACATGGGCCCTGTTATGACTCTTACCATCTAAGGGAATTAAATTGGTGGGATCCATTACCACTCTAGAAATTCTGCTAAGTTCAAATTATTATATGTTAAACTGGATATAAAAAAAATCTTTTGATAGTGTATCAAGGGAATTTATTATTACCCGGATGATTCAGAAAGGCTTCACTCACCCCTTCATCAAGTGGATTAGTGTTTATATTAATTATGTGTGATTTTCTATTTGCATTAATGGTGCTCTTGAATACTTCACCTCCTATGCTGGTCTTAGGCAGGGTTGCCCTTTAAGTCCTTATATTTTTCGTATTGTCATGAATGTTTTTCTTATATCTTGGATAGTGAAACTATGTTCGAGGCCCTCAAGTGGATGGCATTAGGTTCTCTCATCTTTTATATGTTGATGACCTCCTTATATTTGGAAAGGCTTAATTTCACAATTGTGAGGTTCTTTGTCGGTTGATTGAGAAGTTTTCTGTGGCTTCGGGTCTTGAGGTTAATTTTGGGAAAAGTTCCCTCATCTTACCCAATAACTGTCATAATGCCAACCTCATCAGTTCTATTCTTAATATCCCCTACACCTCCACTTGTATTGCTTACCTTGGGATTCCTATATCCCCTTACAACCCTAAGCTCTTTGATTTCTCTAAGTTGACGGAAATTGTTACCCACAAACACTCGGGTTGGAAATTGAATGCTCTTTCTTTTGCTGGTAGATTACAATTTTTACGATTCACTATCTCGAACACAATCACTTATTGCATCCGCGGGTCCATTATGCCCAAAACCATCATCAAACAAATAGAGAAACTTTGTGTTAAGTTTCTTTACTTTGGTGATATTGCTACACGTAAATTGCACCTCATTTCCTGGAAGAAAACATGTAAGCCTAAAGCATATGGGGGCTCTGTCGCAACCCAACCCGACCGGAACGAATCCCGCTCACATCGGGTCGCGACGGAACTTGAAACTTGAAATCCAGAATCTAGTTTTGGGACTTGCTTCAGAACTTTCTTTCCAAATGTTCAAACAAATAGAAACACAGAGCTGCTATAAACTTCAAATACATATAAAAAAATGCATCCACTATTTTCTTCTTTATTTCATCAAAATAATCATGTACAATACAGTTCATGGCTTACAGACAAAAAGAACAAAACAGAAAAGTCATGACTGTACAAAAATAAAAAGTACAAAATACCTAATTACTGATCAAACACAGAACTTCTAGTCTAAGACTTCCTTCCCTTTCCCAAAACCTAAAAACCACGCAGAAAACAAGGAAGAGCTAACAGCTCAGCAAGACTACACTCACCAATCAAAATCTCCAGAAATTCTCATCAGAAAATACATCAGAAGCAGTTATTCGAATAGCCATACAGAAATCGTATAACAGACAGAACAGATACTTGAATTCAAATAGAAATCAAATCACAGATACATGAATTCAAATAAGAGTGCAGAACAGATCTTATATAACTTATAAAGTTTTCAAATCACAAAACAGATCGGATCGTACAAATCAGAATTTAATTCAGATAAAATCACATTTCAGATATCACATTTCACATATCACATATCATATATCCCTGACCCTGACAGAATCCCGACGGATTCTGGCCCCTTATGCCTCCCTTCCCTGACACTGACATAATCTCATATTCTGGCCCCTTATGTCTTCCTTTGTGCTTATAGCACCAGAATTGAATAGATATACAGAATTTTCAAAACAGAACATATTTTCAGATTTTTTTGACACTAACAGAATCTCAAAGAATTCTGGCCCCTTATGACTCCCTTTTGATATCACAGCACATCAAAACATTCAATTCAAAAAATCGGATTACGTCAGAAAATCGTCAGCGGTATAACAGCAGTATACGAAATTTCCACAAAATTCACAGATTCATAAATTTACCAAATTACCACAGATAGTACACAACATCATTCTAAGACTTTCATTGTACTGAGACAGTAAATTCAGAATCCAGATAAATTGTTATTCGATCAAAACTCCACAGAATTCAAATAACCGGTAAAAATATTCCAGAAAATACTCAAAACGTGCACAGTTATCATCTCAAAAACATACCAAAAGTTACGCGGTAAAACCTTTATCAGTACAAAACGAAATCAATTATTCGCTAACGGAAACAAAATCTGAAACAGAAAAGTCGTCAAAATCCTCATTTCTGAAAATTGAGAAAGGCGGAACGTGTCTTACCTCGAGTCGATCAACTTCTTCAACTACAGCTACGGACGAAAACGGACATAAGTAGCCCAAAACTCCACTTTTCTTCTTTTTCCTTCGAATTTCTCTCTCCTGGGCTTTTCTCTCTCTTCAAAAAGATCTCGTTTCCATATGTATCCAACCAGATCGTCCCGGACGATCGCAAATCGTCCCGGGACGATTTGCCCTCTCGACAAAATTCGTTCAGACGTGTACAATAATCGTACCTGGACGAGTTGCTCTATGGAAAAATATCGTCCAGACGAACCCCAGTTCGTCCTGGGACGAACTTCTCTGTCCAGAAACTCCTTTACAACCTGTACAAATCGTCCCGGACGATCCAACTTCGTCCGGACGAACCTGGAAGGAAAAACAGCTTTCACAATCTCCCCAACTTCAGAAAAATGTCGTCCTCGACATTTCCAAAATAAAACTGAGTCAGAAAATATGCGGATATAACTGTCTCATATCTGACTCTTTCTCCCAAGTCGCCTCTCGTGCTGTTCTATGCTTCCACTGCACTTTAACCATCGGAATCTGTTTATTTAACTTACGCATATCATAGGCCAAAATCAACTGCAGATTCTCCTGAATCTCCACATCATCAGCAGATAGTTTCTTTTTAGAGTCAGAGATCCACTTTCTCAAAGAGGATACGTAAAAAATATTATGGATATCAGACATTTGATCAGGCAATAACAATCTATAAGCAGACTTTCTAATCCTTTCAATAATTTCAAAAGGTCCGATATTCCTTGGACTAAGCTTGCTCACTCTTCCAAATCTGCTAATACCTTTCATCGGACTGCCTTTGACTTACACAAAGTCACCAACCTGAAATTCCACCAGCCTATGCTTCAAATTGTAATACTTTTGTTGTATATCTAGTGCAGCTTTCAATCTTTCTTTAATCAGATTGATTTTCTTAACAGTTTCATCCACAAAAGTTGCACCTATTTCTTGTTTATCTTCCACCTCAGTAAGAGTCAAAGGGGTTCTACACTTTCGGCCATACAGAGCTTCGTAAGGTGTCATACCAATATTGGACTGAAAACTGTTATTATAAGCAAATTCTATCAAAGGAATGTGATCCTCTCAACTACCTCCAAATCAAAAGATCTTCCAGTACCTGAATAGTCTTCTTAGACTGTCCATCAGTCTGCGGATGAAAAGTCGTACTGAAATGCAACTTCATACCTAAGCCTTGCTGAATACCCTTCCAAAGTCTGGAAGTGAATCATCCACCTCGATCAGATACAATCACTTTAGGCACACCATGTAATCTGACAATTTCCTTAACATATATCTGAGCTAACTTATCCACCGGATCCGTCTGCCTGATCGGAAGAAAATGTGCAGACTTCGTCAGGCGATCAACAATTACCCAAATTGCATCATGTCCTTGCCTTGATCGAGAAAAACCCATAGCAAAATCCATCGTTACCTCCTTCCATTTTCACTCAGGGATAGGCAACGACTACAAAAAACCTCCTAGTCGCTGATGATCTGCCTTCACTAACTGATAGGCTTCACATTTCGAAACAAACTCCGATACATCCTTTTTCATTCCAGGCCACCAAAACAAACTCTTCATATCTCCGTACATCTTACAACTTCCTAGATGAATGGTATAGCCTGTATAGTGAGATTCGTGCATAATCTCTTTCCTCAGATCTCTAAACATAGGAATCAACAGCCTGTTCTTACAGAAAATACCAGAATCAGAAATTCTTAGTTCAGGTTTCTTACCATATTCAATCTGACCAATCAGCTTCGAATAGTCAGCGTCTGACTTATGGGCTTCATGAATCATTTCTTCCAAAGAAAACTGAATGTCCATCTGAGTCAACACACCAGAATCTGGACCAGTAGAGGAAATTACCTTTAACTGTAGTCTTTCCATTTCTCGTATCAGATACACATCAGAAGTAAGCTGAATACCTGATAATCCAGAAGACTTCCTGCTCAGAGCGTCGGCTTCTACATTAGCCTTACCAGGCTGATAATGAATCGTCAGATCATAATCCTTGATCAACTCAAGCTATCTTATTTGCCTCAAATTCAGATCCTTCTGAGTGAAGATATACTTCAAACTCTTGTGATCTGTAAAGATATCACATCTGATGCCATACAAGTAATGACGCCAAATCTTCAAAGCAAAGACAACTGCAGCCAATTCCAAATCGTGCGTCGGGTAATTCTTTTCATGAGATTTCAACTGCCTTGAGGCATAAGCAATTACCTGACCTTGCTGCATCAAAACACAACCCAAACCTTTCAGTGAAGCATAACTGAATACCTTAAATCCTTCCGTACCTGACGGAAGTGCTAATACTGGAGCAGATGTCAAACAATCCTTCAATCGTTGAAAACTAGCTTCACACTCCGGTGTCCAAACAAAAGCTACTGCCTTCTGAGTCAGTCTCGTCAGAGATGTAGAAATCTGAGAAAATCCCTTCACAAACTTTTTATAATAATCGGTCATTCCCAAGAAACTACGTACCTCAAATACTGTAGTAGGCCTTGGCCAAGTAGCAACAGCTTGAACTTTCTGGGGATCCACAGAAATAACTTCGCCGCTCACCACATGACCTAGAAAAGAAATGCTCTTCAGCCAGAATTCACATTTGGAGAACTTAGCATACAACTTATACTGCCTCAAAGTTTCCAACACAATCCTCAAATGTCTGGCATAGTCTTCCTCATAAGCAGAATATACCAGAATATCGTCTATGAAGACGATCACGAACTGATCCAAATACCCCTTGAATACTCTGTTTATCAGATCCATAAAAACAGCAGGTGCATTGGTTACCCCAAAAGGCATAACCAAAAACTCATAGTGCTCATACCGAGTATTGAAAGCTGTCTTCATCACATCAGCTTCCCTCACCTTCACCTGATAATACCCAGATTTCAAATCAATCATTGAGAATATAGAAGATCCAGCCAGCTGATCAAACAAATCGTCAATCCGTAGCAACGGATACTTATTCTTGATTGTAACTTTATTCAGATCTCTGTAATCCACACACATGCGCAGTGTTCCATCCTTCTTCTTTACAAATAGAACAGGTTCTCCCCAAGGAGCAACACTAGGACGAACAAATTCTCTATCAACCAACTCCTGAAGCTGAACTTTCAACTCTGAAAGTTCCTTCGGTGCCATCCTGTACGGAGCCTTAGATATTGGAGCTATACCCGAAAATACATCAATACAGAACTCAACATCTCTATCCGGAGTTAAACCAACCAACTCCTTAGGAAATACATCTGAAAACTCTCGCACTATTGGGTTATCAGAAACAGAACCCGCATCCATGTTCATATCTCATACTGAGGCCAAAAATACCATACAACCCTTCTTCCACATTCTTTTAACTTCCAAAACAAAAATCAAATTGGAGAGAACACCTCTTAATCCTTGAAATACACATCTCTCACCCTCCATAAGCAAGCTCACTTGCTTCTTCAAACAGTCAAATTGAGTCTCATACAGAGTCAGCCAATCCATGCCCAAAATCACATCATACGAAGAAATCAGCAACAAAATCAAACTCGACTTCCATTTCTTGCCAGAAATTTCAATCTCACAAAAATAAAACTTACGAACAATCAAATTATTCCCAGCCGGCAAAAGAACAGAAAGAGAAATCGGTAGCAAAACAAAATCTAGATATAAAGCATCAAAATAACACTCAGACAAAAACGAATGACTAGCTCCAGAATCAAACAAAACACAATAGGGATACTCAGAAATATAAACCGTACCTGTCGCCACATCCGGAGCATCATGAGCCTCTTGCTAATTAAAACTACATACATGTGGTTGAACTGGAGCTGGAGCTGCAGAATCACTAGACTCCCTCTGAGTACCGCCAGGCGCCAGGTGGTCTCCTTGCCATGGAACTTGATCCACCAGGTCTACCAGATGATCCCTCAGAAATAGTACGTGGAGGAACTATCCTCGGCCTTCCTGCTGATCTGGCAAAACTATCAGACCTAGACTCAGATCGTCGATCAAATCCAGCCTGTGGATACTCAGCAATGTGATGTCCTGGCTGACCACATCTAAAACACTGACCAGTCGTCCTGTAGCACTGGCCGAAATACTATCATCCACAAGTTTGGCACACAGGTGCACCACTAACTACCCAGAATTGGTCACACTGCCACTACCAAAAACTATAGTGGACACAGACTGTCCACTCCTCCTGGAATCTCCAGAAGCAAATATCTTCTTGCCAAATCCAGAAAAACCACTACTAGAAGCATCACCACTGAATCTCTTCATACTAGCAGTCCACCGCTGCTGAGTAGCCATCAGATTGTTCTCTATCAGTCGAGCTCTCTCAACAAGCTCAGAAAAATCAGAAATATGAAATGGTACTAGGGGCTGCCTCAGACTATCTCGTAGTCCCCTCATAAATCTATAGCACTTCTCAGTAGAAGTATTCACCAGCTGTGGAGCATATCGAGCCAAAGCAATAAACTCTGCCTCGTATTGCATCACTGTTCTGCTCCCTTGAACCAACCTCAAGAAAGTCTCATGCATTTGCTGTCTTGTAGAAGGAGGTACAAACCACGATCGAAATACCTCAAAAAATTCTTCCCAAGTAATCAGAGAGTTCAGCTTGCATTGAAATTTCTCCTCCTGCTGGCCTGTCCACCAGCGCTCAGCTTCACCATCTAACAAGAAAACAACTAACGGTACCTTCCTGTCCGGAGGACACTGCATGCCGTCAAAGGTCTTTTCCAACCTCCTTAACCACTCCTCAGCTGCTCTGGGCTCAACCGTGCCCTCAAATCTCGGAGGTTTCAATCTCAAAAACATATGTAGATGTCAATCCACATCCTCAGATCGAACAGTAGAGGCTATATTCTGAGTCTCACTCATCATCTGAGCAACCAGTGTAGCAAAGTGAGAAACCGTATCAGAACCAACCACTGGGGAAGTACTGTTATCAGGAGCTACCTGACTAGCACTCTGCCCATCAGTCATATCTGGGTATGGCATATCCATAATCACACAGAAAACTATGCACATAAAATAACATAATAAAAATCCAAACAAACCAGAACTACCCCGACAGACTTACAGATCAATTCCTATAGCTCTGTCCTACAATCCAAGTCCAAAATAAGTTCTCTGGTACCACTAAAGTTTGTCACGACCCAACCCAACCGGTACGAATCCCGCTCGCATAGGGTCGCGACGGAACTTGAAACTTGAAATCCAGGATCTAGTTTTGGGACTTGCTTCAGAACTTTCTTCCAAATGTTCAAACAAACAAAAACACAGAGCTGCAATAAACTTCAAATACATATAAAGAAATACATCCACTATTTTCTTTTTTTCTTTCATCAAAATAATCATGTACAATACAGTTCATGGTACAGACAGAAAGAACAGAACAGAAAAGTCATGACTGTATAAAAATCAAAAGTACAAAATACCTAATCACTGATCAAACACAGAACTTTTAGTCTAAGACTTCCTTCCCTTTCCCAGAACCTAAAAACCACGCATAAAATAAGGATGAGCTAACAGCTCAGCAAGACTACACTCACCAATCAAAATCTCCAGAAATTCTCATCAGAAAACACATCAGAAGCAGTTATTCGAATAGCCATACAGAAATCGTATAATAGACAGAACATATACTTGAATTCAAATAGAAATGAAATCACAGATACATGAATTCAAATCAGAGTGAAGAACATATCTTATAAAACTTATAAAGTTTTCAAATCACAGAACAGATCAGATCGTACAAATCAGAATTTAATTCAGATAAAATCACATTTTAGATATCACATATCACATATCACATATCAGATATCCCTGACCCTGATAGAATCTCGACGGATTCTGGCCCCTTATGCCTCCCTTCCCTGTCACTGACAGAATCTCAGATTCTAGCCCCTTATGTCTCTCTTTGTACTTATAGCACCAAAACAGAATAGATATACAGAATTTTCAGAACAGAACTTGTTTTTAGATTTCTCAGATTTCCCTGACACTGACAGAATCTCAAGGCCCCTTATGACTTCCTTTTGATATCACATTACATCAAAACATTCAATTCAGAAATCGGATTACATCAGAAAATTGTCAGCGGCATAACGGCAGTATACAAAATTTCCACAAAATTCACAGATTCAAAAATTTACTAAATTACCACAGATAGTACACAATATCATTATAAGACTTTCATTGTACTCAGACAGTAAATTCAGACATCCAGATAAATTATTATTCGATTAAAACTCCATAGAATTCAAAATACCCGATAAAAATATTTCAGAAAATACTCAAAACATGCACAATTATCATCTCAGAAACATACCAAAAGTTACGGGGTAAAATCTTTATCAGTACAAAACGAAATCAATTATTTGCTAACGGAAACAAAATCCGAAACAAAAAAAGTCATC